TCTACCAAGATAGTTAAGGGAAAATACTGGACATACTTCTGGTTATCTAAATTTTCTCTGACTAGCATATTAACTGTTGCTGCTGCAAATTGGTTTTGAAGCATCAACATCTCTCTCCTTCATGGATAGATAAATAATTCGGGGATGAGCTTCAGCCACGCACTTCATTCAGCTTTACAATTTAGAAGTTCCAATTTTCTGACTTTAAAAAGTGAGAGCCTTGGTTTTACAGGTGGTTAACTGAATTACAGGGAGAAAAATCAATACATCTCTCAACAGCCACCCTGCATTTCCAAAACCTTTGTCCTGGCCACATAGCTATCTTTAAGCTCTGCATTTTTTTACCTTCCTGAAAGAAGGATGACCACTATACTGATCTCCTTTCTAAACCTTTCACATAATAGAAGCCAAGCAGCAACAACAGAAGTCCATATGTGAGGAAGCCCAATCCAGCCTGAAACCCACCTACCTGAAATGCGTTGCTATGAGCTTGTTAAGGAATATTCTAGTTACTGCATTTACACAAGTGTGTGAAACACAAACTTCCAGGACAGATCCTATGATTGTTTTTGTGTGTGTTTTTGTATATATACACGTATATTCTTTTTAGGAAAGGCTGTTTGCTGAATTAATGTTTGTTTAGACTATTTGGGCATGCAATAGAAATGAAGAGAGGAAGGTAGCACTCAGAAGCTGCTGATGGCATGTTACTGTGTGAATTGTGCTGATGATTGTCAACTTTTGCCAAATCTCAACATTTGGCCAGTATATTTGACTAATCACAACCATACTTAAATTAACTATTAATGTATTAAGGAAAAATAACCTTTTAAAATTTAAATCTTTTTCCATGAAGACACATTTGGGTTCTTTATAGTGTTTCATGCTTAGCTCTTGGTTCTATCAGTCAAATTATTTTAAATAGAGACTCCTCTTATATTTGGCAACATTATGTGTGATTAGCATTCCTAGACTACTACTGTTGTCCTGCTGGTCTTCTAGTTCATTAACATTTTGTTAGCAAGATTTTAAATAGCTGGGTACAATAAAGGGATGCATTAATTCTGCTATTTAAATGTATTTTTAAATTCTTCTGTTTGCTTTTGAAAGATAAATAGCAGAGGCTAGTGGTACTACAGCAGCTGTATGCACTTCCATCTTTGGAAGAGTCGTTGAATCGAATATGTTTATGCATTTATTTCAGAAAAGAGGCAGGAATCTTCTGGTTTCTTTATGTACTCGAAATATAAATCTGAAGGAAATGTGCTACAATATTACTGCAGTTTTAGCAATCTGTTATAAAGTTTATTGCACAGAAATAACTAGGTCAACCTCTGGATGACCTGTCTTTTGGAGTTTCTTTGGTTAGCTTTAGGCTAGAGCTCCACCTTGTGATCTTTCAGCAGGATACATTTTATAGTTAATAATTTAATTATGATTTCACAAAGTTGTGTGACTTCAGGAAGTTTTCAGGCTTGAGGGATTTCAGTATCTGCTTGGGAAAATGGAAGTTGGAATTCTGTGAACATGCAAAATACTGAAGAGCTGCTCTTCAGTTTAGAGTTATTATTTGAGTGCATTTAATAGATAATGTAGACTTTTCCCTGTTTGGAATGGCATCTTCAGGAATGGAATTTTCCTGTTTTCAGACTGCACTGTGATGAATCTGGTATATCTTACAAGTTCTGACTGGATGCTTGTATGGACCATTCTCCTTTTTCGTTGACTACCCAAACTGGGTGCCTTGAATGAGTCACCAGTATGTGCATGAAGAAACCCCATCTGCCAGTAGTCTTGAATTTTCAGAAGGCACTTACTGAAATCAAGGATAATGGGGGATGAAAAATGCCAGTGGTTTCCCTTACCAGAACAAGAGAACATCAAATAAAATTGGCAAGTGATAAATTCAAAGCAAAGAACGTGCCTCTTGGTATATGCAATTTGGCTGTGGGAGTTTTTGCGTGGAATGCACAGTGTTGCTGCTGAATATTGAATTCAGAAAGTGATTGGAAATACTTATGGAAAAAATACTGATAAGGGATTAGAAAATGTAGGTACAGCCTCTCTGGCTGAAAAAATCCCTGAGGTATTACTGGATGCTGGGAGGGTATTCAGGGAAAACATAGCTAATGTTCTTCCTTGGGCAGATTCTGTTGGCTTCTGCAGGGGCAAATGCCAGGCTAACCCTGATGGTTGAGAATCAAAGTTCCATGTCATCTGGATGTATGTAAATCTTTAAAAATGATCCTTTACTGTGGCAAATACAAGGAGTGTTTTGGTCATTGCTGGGGTTTGAGCTAGACACTCGAGATCCTTTACGGTCTTACCTCGTCTATTCTTGCAGGGCGTTCATCTGTGATTTCCATAACATGCATTCATGAGAGACAGGTTTCTTCTTCAAGAAAAACAGTTTTTGAAATGGAAATCTTTCTGGATACTGAAGCGTTAAGCTACTAAGAACTTGATATTTCTTTCCCATTTTTGGAGGTGTTTCTGACCCAACAATGCAGTGTTTTCTTTCATGGTTGTTCTTTGCACTAAGATGAACTGTTCTTTCAAGAAGTTCAAGTTGGTATAAACTGCAGCGAGCTAGTTTTGTCAGGTGATTTGACTTCTTTGTTGTAGGGAATATATACTTTAATAATTTACCCATTCTTTTTTATCATTTTTCGTTAAAAAGGTTTTGTGAGATTTTTTTCAAAATTCAGGACAGCAGCTTGCTTTTTGTAAAGGGAGTGAAAAATGGATAATCCAAGTGGTTAACTTGCTTTGTTCCTCAGAACTTTCAAATTATATGGAATAGGCAATTTTAGTATTGTAAATAGGTAGTATTAATGAGCCATAACACAAAATTTGCATGGAAACGTCCTGATTGTCACTTCAGTAGATGTCTTGCTTCTCAACTGAAGAATGTAAACTAGAAAAAGTCAAATAACATGTTGTTGGTCAGGTTGAACTTGAAACTGAGCAGTGTGGGTTTTGAAGTTTGCATCTTTGCGCTGAGACTGAATCGTAAGCATGGCCCCAAAAGGATCTTTGTGTCCGGATCTCTTTTGCTTGTTGAGTTTCTGTTCGTTCCCCACTCCCTGAAGTACACCTGATCAGGTACTAGCCTGATGACCAAAGCACTGAAGTGTGCTGTTTTTCCAAGTTCAACTTGCTGAAAAGAATCTGAACAAATACTAAGAATAAATACACATACATAGTAAAAATATAATTCAAAGTGCATCGTGTTTTGCTGTATCCCCTACTGAGCATACAGATTTAGACAGCCTGGATGGTATAATAGCTCCCTGACACCAGAGAAAGGAGTTTTACTCTTCCCACCTGTGCTTGTGGCTATGCAGTCTTGTGTTTCCCATGTCTTAGCTCTGGATACCTGCTGTTTAACCAGTTTAACTTGAGAATCCAGGGGGGGAAATTCTCAAGGTATAATTTGCCCATTTTGTTGGGGAATTCAGTTGGGTGATACAGAATGGCTGAGCCTATGAAGTTGAATGGCTGGGGAGGGGATGTTACTCTGCCCTTGAATAACTGTTTGCAGAAGAGTGTGTAAATGGGGCAGGAGAGCATGAAACACTGGTCCTGTGCTGTGTGGTTTTTGAGAAGGGAGCAGTAGGGTGACAAAGGTTGATGCCATTCTGCAGCAGCAGTTTATGAAGCATTTTATGTTCTACTGTGGTCTGGATGGAACATGCTTTAGTAGTTGCAGACTAAACTGAGATTCACCAGCCTATCTGGAACCTCCTCTTGTTTTGCCACTATTTCCTTCCACTCCTCTGCCTTTATATAATTGTGTGAAATGTGAGGAAAGAGAACATAGTAAGTTCAGGGTTTATGGTTTCTCTCAGCTCTCTGAATTCTGGAAGCTACAGTGGCCCCTAGCATTCAGAAGAAGCACTTGCAGGAAAAAAAGAAGTACGGCCTCTATCTACATGCTCCATTGAAATGCAGTCTCTGAAGCGTAGCTACCAGACATTAAGAAACATGTGCTTAGCATGCCAAAATTAAATCTGTCCCTCAAATACCTAGTCACTCCAGCAAGCTGTACAGTCAGCAGCAGACTTTGAAGGTTTTTCTCTTTGCTATTGCATCTTTAATACACGTGAATATGAAGCCGTACAAAAGTTAGCCTGGGGCAGATGATTGACGTAGAGAACTTTTCCCTGCATGGTTAAATCTCACATTTGAAGTATCCTCTGATTTCCGGCCCTCCCCACCCCCCTTTAAACATAGGAAAATTAGCTAAAAATTCAGGTGGCAGTTTAAAATTAAGTTGGAAAGCAAGTATTTCACAATCTTAGTTCTCTTGAGGAAACACTGTGCTGTTTCTGATGGTTTTCTTTATAGCATGCAGATAGTATTATCTTCCTTGATATCCTTAGAGTCTTGTCAAATGCTTTAAATAGTAGAACTGTTGTAAGCCTGGTTTATCAACTCTGGAAGATGGGGAGTTGTGAAGCAGCTAAATGTAAGAACTTGTTATAAGAGCTTATCTTTATGGGAAATGTCATGGAAGTTTACACATTGGAGATACAAAGTTGGTGTATATATAATGTCCTTAAATGTAAACATACTGTGTTTAAATTTAACATGAAATCTGGTTTTGCTTTGGTTAGTCAGAAATACCCTAGTGTTAGTAAATCTGGGTGCTGCAATGCATGGTGTTACAGTTCAAAAGTGCAAACGTAAATCTAGTGTAGATTTAGAAATAAAAGCTATTACTTGCAAGGTGTTAATGAAAACCATTCCACTTTCCTCATCCTAATCAGATTTCATCCTGCCCAATGTTTCTGCATTTTATTTGATGCTTTTAACATTTGTGGAAGTACTTTGTAGTAAGAACATGGGAGGAATCGAGCATATAAAATCTTGAACTAGGGAAAAGGTTGGTCAAAAACTGGGTGGTGTGATCTGACTTTTTCATGTTCCCAACTTTTTTGCTTCTTCATTTGTGGGGAAAAAATGTTCATGGTATTTATTTTTTCGTTTTATTGCAGAAGTTGTCCGCTGCAAAGGAGGAAAGAAAAGTAAGCTTGTGCTTCAGACGGGTTTTTGAATATCTTTCTAATACAGTGGTGTTGCAGAAGATGATAAAGAAATGATAGCAGCTCCAGAAATACCAACTGATTTTACTCTCCTTCAGTAAGTGTTTTAACAATTCATAGTTTCATTTTTAAGCGTACTTGCTCCTTAATGTTATGGTTGGTATTCTCCTGGAAACGAGGAAACAAAATGAGAGCTAGGGTTCTAGATTTTTTTTTTTTCCTGTTGAGATGCTGACAAAGCAGTGTTTAAATTCTTTCTTGATTATTCAGCAGTAATTAAGTATTTTAGAAGTGCTTAATTATTTTAAATATAATGTCAAACTTTGCTGGTAGGAAGCCATGGTGACAGACTTGGTTTTGTGTGATGGACTTCTTAGGATTTTGTCTTTCAGAATATAATGTTTGAATAAAAGCCATCTTTGATTAAGAATAAAAAAAAAGTTTCCTTTGTTAAAGTCTTATTAGAGAGGAAGTAGTTGCAGTATTTGCCCTTAATAACTGGGGCGGGTCACCTAATATTTAAAATACCTAATGCCAAATGCTTTAGTTAAAACCAGGGTCTTAGCTTCCATAAGCCATCTGTTTCTTGATGGTTTTACCATCATTTTATTAGCTCTCCTTTCTTCCTACAATTTTTAAAAAACATACGTTGGAATTTCCAAGCTTTAAATTGATGTATAAGTTATAGTTTGGAAGAGAGGTAAAATGATTAGTTTAAGCAGACCAAAAGAATCCATTTCCTCAGCTTCTAATTGTCAAGAAATTGGTGTGAATGTGTTTCAACAGACCGTTGAAAATTACTGGATTGGTATAAAATCTAAAAAGATAGATTTGGTTTTGTGTGGGTTTTTATCTTTTTAAAACTGAAAGATGGTTTAATATAAAGAACTGTTTTTATAGCTGTTTATAATTTTTGTTAACTCTATTGGTAGAGTTCATTGCTTAGTATTCTTTCCTGTGAAAAGAGCACCTAGGAGGTTTTGAAGAAGAAATGTTTCTCAGCTTCTCCCAAACCCCTGATTGGAGACTTTTTCAGTCTGTATCAGAGTATAGTCAGCAAACCCAGAAATGGGAAAATACATGTTAAAAGGCAGAAAGCCCCTTTTAGACGATTGAATAGTGAGAGACCTTAAGTTTCTGGATTATTTTAGAATGTTATAAATTCATAGGACTAGGTTTCCTGTGCCTCCTGGTCATCTTTATGGTTGCATTGTTAATTGAATCAGGAAGTGTGAAATCAGGATCAAAAATGAGTGACAGCAGCCAGAATTCACCATACTGCATGTATGCCATTAAAAAGGCATAGTAGCATCATTTGTGGTCTGCGGGAAATGTAGGAATAGAGAATGCTTAGTTTACTCTCTATTTATAATTCAGGTTGGCAATAAAGGATTTGTGTATTGATAGAAGAAAGTTTGTATAGTGTTTAACAACTTTCTAGCTTATAAGCCCAAACAGAACTACTGGTCATCTTTTTGATGGAGAAACCTCATGTAAGCATTTTTTTCTGTACCTTTCAGCTTAAGTGCATACTTCTTACTTACCTGCTTAGTTTCTAATAGCATACAGAGATCTATTGATACACTTTGATTGTGAGGGAAGGTGGTGGTTTCTTTTCTGCTGTTGGTTTTTTCCTCCCTCTGTTTGTGTTGTTTAAATAATTGTGGCAGATGCTTACAAGTGCCCTTTGCTTGCTTTTTTTTTTTTTTGCTATGGTGTGATGTTTGTCACATGCCAAAAGCAAAGTTCCCAACCTCTTGCTGTTTCCTACCCACCTTTGCATCTTTTAACCTTACTGTATGGCTTTCTTCACTGCGAGATTGCTTGGAGAAGGCAGGGTGGATGTTGAGGGTATGCTCTGATCTGTTCCTTGACAGTAGGTTTAAACAGAAGGAAAAAGGCAGCTTCACTGTTGAGAGTTGACTGACTGGACTTGAGAGCATAATACGACCTTATGTAGTAATTTAAGAATGGTTCTGATGAAATGTGTAAATGGGTTGTCTTTTTATCATTGCAGGGAGTCTGAAACACACTTCTCTTCTGATACAGACTTTGAGGATATTGAAGGAAAAAACCAAAAGCAAGGCAAAGGAAAAGTATGTTCAGTTTATAGGGATACTGAAACACTTCTACTGTTAAAAATTGAAGAGTTGAGCGCTTGCTTTGAAGATGAATGGGCTAGGAATGTTTCCTGAAAGTGCAAGCGTTCTGTGAAGAGAATTCGTATTTGTATTTGCATTTTAGTTCTTTATCTTGAGTATTTGCATGAGATTTCCTTAGTGCTATGGAGGCATAAGGGTGGTGGGGGAGAAGAGGTGAGCTTTGATTTGATTAGTATCTCTGCATGTGTTCCATTCTGTACTGAAATTTGTTGCTAATGCAGTCTCTTTTGGTTGGTGCCATTACTTCTGGCTCTCTTGTACTTTGAAAAGTGAACAGAAACCAATAGTTGAGTTCACATTCAAAAAACTATATTTTTTTTTCAAATACATCACAGGTTGTAATTCTAGAGTTTGTAAGGGAATTGCTATAGCTGTTTTAAATAAAATCTGTGTAATCTGTGTAATTGTTTTATAGTTTAAACACAAGAAAAATCTTTGTGTCATACACTGTCACTAACAGCATTTTTAGTTGCTAGAAGATTTTATATGAGGGCAGGAGGAAATGGAACCTGTAGAAATCTCACAGGTCTTTTTGTGAGTTAGGTTCAGCTGTTATTCTCAATTTTGGATTTTAAATCTGGTTCTTCAAATCAAAAGGCCCTGTTTATAGTTGTCATGGATAATAAATTGTTGGTTTTTTTTTGTTTTGTTTTTTTTTTTTTTTTATTTACTACATTGTACTCAACTAAAACTTACTCTGTGTGTGTGATTGCAGACCTGTAAGAAAGGGAAAAAAGGACCAGCAGAGAAGGGGAAAAGTGGGAACGGAGGAGGGAAACCTGGTGGTCCAAATCGGATGAATGGACATCACCAACAGAATGGTGTGGAAAACATGATGCTGTTTGAAGTAGTTAAAATGGGCAAGAGTGCTATGCAGGTAAGAGTCTGATTTGGATAAATATACAATTTAAGGCTATTTTACTGCACATACGCTTTAACAAAATAATGCCTAAAGTAAATTCTTCTATTAAATTTGTAGGTTTTAGTTGAAGTGGTTTTGCTTTGTTAAGGTTTGAATTTCAGTGAACTGATTTTTCGTTTCTGAATGTCAGGGATGAATAAACACATATGTAACGAAGAAGTTCAAACTGTGATTGAAAGTGTGTTTTTGGTGTACCAAGAGAAGAAAGGTTATTTCAGGTGACATGACCTTGAAAGTCGTTTTTGTGCATCTGTAACTAATACAGATGTTGTTTATTCCTATAGTTGTCATAGAACTCAACAAGAAATCTGTAGTTTCTGGGTGTTCCCAGAGCTTAAATTATCCAACCCCCCCAAAAATTAACTTCTCTTACCCAAAGTAAAATCACTAGCTGCAACTTACAGGCTACTCTTTAAAATTCCCCTAAGTTGACTTGGTTAGCTTGGCTTATGTCTATTGCAACACTGTAATTGGGTGGAATTTGTCCGGAAATCATAACCTGTTAGAAGCCTCTGCATTAGGTGCTCTCTCCACTGCATTTACAGAGAGGACTGAGGTCTGTTACAAAATTGAGCACTAAAATTCTGATTTTTCAGTTAAATCAGTAAAGCCTTTGCTTGACTGTGAGAAGCCTTCAGTGGAGAGAGGGTTAAAGCATAAGCCTGTCAGCCATGAAGCCTTCCTGCTGACTCACTCATGTGACTCCTCAGCAGCCTCCAAGAAAAGACTATCTTTGGGATTGAAAATGTAGAGTTTACAGCTCCTGTGTTACGCGTTCAGGAAGCTGTGTCTGCGTGCAGTCGTCTGAACAGTTGCAGGCTCCTGCATTAGAGCTGGGTACTTTGAAACCTGAATTCTTTGGCAGAAGTTCAGTTCTGACTTTTCAAAAAGAACAGGCTACTTTGATGTATTTGCACAGAGAAATTCTGATATTTCCATCATTCGTTTTGTTCTGCTGTATTTCAAAGCAGGTGGGAAAAAGGTGCTTTTCTAAGTGTTGCTGTGTGCATTGCATTTTCAGCCAGTTTCCAGCAACTGTGTCTTCAGGACACTGTAACTTTTTAAAATGATACACAGGCAAAATCTTTTGCTTTCTGAAAGCAGAACCTTTGTCAGCCCTGATGACTCTGTTGAATTGGGGAGTTGATACCTGGGTGATAGAGTGAATCTTAGTATTCTTTTTTGTCAAAATAAAGAAAAATTCTCAAAGCATTTCTGAAGTCAAGTCCATTCAGCTTTCAGAGTGAAAAGTTTTCTCTGTGGCCCTCAGCATTGCTTGCCTAAAAAGATTTTGATAATAATACTTATTTTCTGTTTCATACCTTCTTGTGAATAAGTGTCTGTTCTCTGGCAAAACCAGATGGTTCAGCCATGGAGACAAAATGTTTTGAGAAACTACTGTTTTGCTGGAGGTTCTTCAAAATAAATAAATTCTTAAAACAAGGCTGCCTGGGATATCTAACATTATCCTGTTCTGCATAGCGACCTTTATAAGCCTAATTTAAGATACTTCCTAGATTGTTGTCCCTCCTCCCCACAGACCAGTCAAATCAGTACTAGTTTGTAGGTTCTGTTCCTACTGGGAACACCATGATAATTCCACTTCAAGTTTTTCATTCTTTCTGTGTTGCTGACGAAAGTTGTGCATCACGCTAGAAACAGCCTTAACTTTAGGGAAGAGGGATTTAGCTGTATCTGTGTTCAGAAGTTTTTCTTCATGGCAGTTACTTTTACTTGTCCTCACAGCGTTGATGCATGTGAGAGTAAGCAGTAAGAAGAGTACAGACAGGAAGCATTAGAGGTGGTGTGTACTCCTGTTGTCTTAAGGAAGTTCTGAACTATTCCCTCATCTCTATTTAGAATGACTAGATTTTAAGGCCAGGGTGTCAACATACTAAAAACCTTGAACTGAGGGCTTGATACCAGAGTGAGTCTTCAGTGGTTGTGTTAATAAAGTAATCATATGATGTATGTTTTTATGACTTCTGCAGTAGACAGTTTGTGTACTGCACACATGGATCATTTAAACATAATTGCATGTAAATTCTGTTTTCTCAAAACCATTATCACAGGTTGCCTATTAATTTGCTTCCCTTCAATGCTCTCATTCCTGTTCGGTTTAGTGAATATAGAGTACCTAATGTCCATGCAGCATAGGGCAGTGCTGTTCATCTTGTTACGTGTATGGAGCACAGCTCATCAAAGGGGCAAATTTCTGAGGAGTGTAGAAAGTTGTAGCTTTTGGAACTGAACACCTAGAACAGTATCCTTAAAGAAGTGTCACTAGGCTGGGGAGGGGATGGAGGCGGAGAGAAAAACTGCTTCTGCAAAATACTGCAATTATTTTTACATTCTTCTTCAAAAAAAGAATTATAGATGTTTTCTTGAAAACTGATATTATGGCAGTAAAGGATTATTCGAGCATTTTTTCCTGTACTAAGCAGAAAATCCACAGAGTTCAAGTTATTTGTGGAAGGAAGAAAAATCACTTACTGCAAAGCAGTTAAATAACATTCTTCAATTTGTGAAAACTAAAATGTCCCTTTATATTTGTTTCTTTTCAGTCTGTAGTGGATGACTGGATAGAGTCATACAAACATGACAGAGATATAGCACTTCTTGATCTCATTAACTTCTTTATTCAGTGTTCAGGCTGCAAAGGTAAGATACTGAAATGTTTACTCATCCTTTTAAAGAGTAACGTAGTACTATTCTCATTCTTTGCTTTTATACTATGGCTGCTCCATCCCTGCAGCTAGTTTACACTATTCTTGTAGGTAAAGCTAGTGTTTCTGGAGGTGTGGGCAGGGGGCTTAGAAATTATATACTGTATTTTAAAATGCAGATTAAGCCTTTTGTATTCACACCAGAGAAAATGCAGTTGGTACTTAACACTTCATCGTTCTCTGTTCCTGCAGTTATTTCAGAAAATCTCAACATTGATAGTTTAACTTGTTCAGTCTTGGAATTCTAGCTTGGATTTGTTTGCTTCTTATCATTGAGTGCTTTGGTTGTTTCATAGCCTTTGTAGAGATGCTTGATTTAAAAGATACTATGGGCAGCTTCAAGGTGGTGTGTCTACAGTAAGATTGTATTCCCATATTTTGTTTTCATCTTTGTTTTCTGGTTTTCTTTGCTTGTTTTCATGTCCTCCATTCTTTTTTCTCCTTTCCCTGCAGTGTGTCACTGCGCTTGACAGGGTAGGACTGGATATAATTTGTTCTGCTTGAGCATTTCTCTGTCCTGATAAACTTCTAACATGCATAAATCTCCAGAAAGCTAGTAGCATTCCTCGGAGGTTATCCATGCTTTCAAGAGCAGTGACCTTTTGATTATTGTTACCAGATAAAACCGCGGAATCTGTTATGCTTTCTGAGATGGTCCTTGTCACAAATTTTGCAGTATAGTGGCAGTAAACTTGAGGAGATCTATTTGGTTTTTATATCTCCATTCACGCTCTCAACAATTTGAGGCTAAGACAGATAGAAATTGTGTGAAATCACTGTTTATTAGGGTGCAGAAGATAATCAGTAGCAACAGAACCGTTCATAATTGTCTTACACTATTTAGAGTCTTGGATCCTGAAAGGTCATTTCAGATTAGTGTAGTCTCTGGACTGATGAAGTGGTCTGGCACAAGTATCCTTGGTTTCTGGATATGAGTGAATTAGTAAATTCTAGATGTGTGTGTTTGCACACACACAAGAACACTTCAGAAAAGATAAACCCATATATATATAGAGAGAGAGAGACACACACACACACACACACACACACACACACACCAAAATGTATGTAGTATTGGTGCCAAGTGCTTGCTATGTATGAATGATAAAACAGAAAATGGGTAACTTACTATACATGGTGTTTTTTTTCTGTAGGTAAGCTGAAAATTGATCGTTCTTACATTTTAGCAGGAGTCATGTCATCTCCCATCTGCCTCTTTCATATTAACAGTGCTAATAATGTTATATTTATATTGTAGGAGTTGTTACAGCAGAGATGTTTCGACATATGCAGAATTCTGAAATAATCCGAAAAATGACTGAAGAATTTGATGAGGTAACTTAATGAACTGCTTAATTCTTTCGTTTTACCTGTTAATAATCTTACTGGATCATGTTGCTGTAGGTTTCTTTCAAGGATAAAGTCAGCTGCAAAAACATCAGGTCTCTTAACAATGAAAATCTTCATCTCCCTTATTGTAAGACTCTTAAGATCTCCCTGAATTTTAAGACTAGGAAGTAAAGCGCTGCATGCGTATCACTTGTTTAATTAATGGTTTAAGAAATCAATATTGACCTTTAGTTTTTGAATGGTGGGAACTCTGACTACTGTGGAGCTATGTGGGATGCTTCCCTGTTCCTGCTAAGGCCTCTTAAGTCTTTTAAAAATGATTGTGAAATTTATTTCTATGTATTTATTAATCTGCAACTTGGGATTTGAATTCGATTATTCTGCAATTGAAGACTAGCTTTAAAACCTTGTCCCTAAATTTCTCTAATATGGGAATAATACGCATCCACACCTTCAGCAGAAAAGTTTCAGTGAAAAAAACTTAATATACTTTTGTTTAAAAGGATTTTAGCATTACTTAGAAATATCTCAGTGCATAAATAGATTTAATAACATAAGGTAATATTGTATGAAATATATAAAGCTTCAGCCAGGAGTGTTTGTTCAGGGTTTTTTTTAATCACTGGGTTAGGCTTAGTCTTCCTTATAGCAGAATTCTAATGAACAGCTCTCAGATTTTGAATCCCTTTTCATGAATACTTCCTTCATTTTTTGATCTGTAATGTTGTTTAGCCTCTTAAAGAAGCTGTTCAGCACTGATCCAAGTGATTGAGTTTTTTCCTCCCTGTCATTTTTACTATTATTTGTAAAGGTTCCCAGATTGGGAGAGGAACACACATTTGTTATATGCAAGCTCTTACACTAGGTCATTTTGTGACTTCAGGAATTTTCAGTCTGATACATAATGCATCTCCCTGTAAACTTTATTATGGTCCTTTATTATTATGTAAACTTGATTAGGAGCTGAGTGTTCCTAAACATGACAACTAACTGTTCATGTGGTGGTTCTTTTGTTCTAGTGTAACCTGAAGCAGATCTGTAAGGGGTATGATTTACTTTAGTTTTACATTATTTTTCTTTTTTTTTTTAAGGAGTAGGACAGAAAGAAGACAGTAATAGTCATTTCGGTATATGTGGTTATGTTTGGTTTTCATGGTAGGACTTGCCGGATGTTGTCTCTGCATACAACAAACCTGAGCTGCAAAGTAGCTGCATATTTCCGTATTTCCAATGCGTCTTTCTTTTAATGGCATCAGAGATTTTGGCTTTAAAGTTGTCACCATCTCTTTTTAATCTTTATTTAATAAAACGACTTTTAAGATATCTGAAAATTTTCTGTTTCCCTTTTTGTTTTTTAATAGGACAGTGGAGATTACCCGCTAACTATGGCTGGTCCCCAGTGGAAGAAGTTCAAATCCAGTTTTTGTGAGTTTATTGGAGTACTCGTCCGACAATGTCAATATAGCATCATATATGATGAATATATGATGGATACTGTCATTTCACTGCTTACGGGGCTGTCAGACTCACAAGTCAGAGCATTTCGGCACACTAGCACACTGGCAGGTCAGTGCATTATTTCTCGTGTGTTGTATTGCTTTTGTGGTATGTTTTGTGCTGCACAGGAAAGAACTGTTTTGGTTGAACTTTTGGTATTTGACATTCAACTTGCATTTCATTATGTGATACAGTTTTCATGAAATGCAGCTTGTTTTGGTACAGCTTTCTTAACCTCGTCTTTATAGGTTTTTCATTACTAAAAACCATAGCATTATTATAAAGCATTCTTTATGAGCTGCCTAGTACTTAATGTTTGTTAGCCTTTAGTCTAGTAGAGAAAGTAAATATGAGGAAACTTTTTAGTTGATTCTGCAAGTTTGTCTTTGGTCATAACAACAGTGTAAGTATCTTTCTAACCTCAAATGCAGTTGAACCTGTTTATGCCTTGCATTAAGTAGAGTGGGAGTTGTATTATCATATCGGATGCAGTTTTTACTGTGAATTTAAATTGTGCTGTATAGAGGCCATGACACAGTGTAATTGAAAGTAGCACCCCCATTTATTGCATTAGAAATAATTTTAAAGAATGCTTCATCAGTGATACAGTCACTGAATTTCTGTATGGTTTTAAGTAATAGAAGTAGGTAAGTAAGGTTCCCTTCCCCTCTCTCCCATACTGCCCATTTGTTCAATTACAAAAAAATCCCTTTTGAGTTAAGTATGGAGTGTTATTAAGAGAAATAAACCATTATATGGACAAAGGATAAACTGCTTTGTTAAGGAAGTCCTAAACCAGCGCTGATTAATGAAGAAGGGTCTCAGATGGCATTGTGCAGCAGTCCACTTATGTGCGGCTTATGATAGCAATTCTAGTGTGAACAAGGTGAATTTAGAATGTACAGGAAACTGAGCTTTTAGCCACACTGGAAATAGTTCTGGTAAGGTCCACTGGAACTGGTGGATTTACAGCTAGCTTCAGTCCTTTCTATGTGATCAGTTTTCTATTTCATCCATCATCTCTCTTGAATATATATTAGCATATGGCATTTATTATAGAGTGAGGAACAAACCCATATATTTCAGGAGGATATACTGCTGTATCATCACTTTAACCATTGTACCATATAATTAATACAAATTTTAGTTCTTAAAACCCAAGTTTTTACTACTTTCTGAAGTCTGAGTTGGGCCTAAATAAAAGTTGCAGAAATTGCCCAGTTCCATGTTGATTTCTCTCACATAAAATACTTTATCAGCAGTCTGTTTGCATTTGTTCCCGTCAGTAGTGGATTCTGTTGATTTTATGTAATTATTTGGCATTTCGCATGAGATTACAGGTTGTATTCTTAAATATTGTGATTTATATGGGGTGGAGGCAACCAGCAAAATCCTTGTATCCATATTTACTGTTACTTACTGTAATTTTGGCTTCTGCAGTTAGCTCAGACTTGTTCTTTTCATCTTGATATCCTTGGAGATGATGATGTGTGCTGATAGTTTGATATATCTGCATGTCTTTATGCCTTACTCATCAAATCTTGCTAGTGATACACTCTTAGTGATGTTCTATGTATGCTTTGCCAATGTAAGTCTGTTCATGCCAGTGCTACAAAAGTGCAAAAGAAAAGCAAGTATGCTGTTGACCACTTCCTGGTTTCTGGAATAGGCATATTTGTCTGCACCCTTTTTAAAGGGGTCGATTCAGAAATAATAGCATGCAAAAAATCTCACGCAAATGTCTTGCATCTTACAGTTATAGTTCTCTGGCTTCTAACTGTCTAATGTCTTTTCTCCACTCCTGTGAATAAAGGAATAGTTGAAGAAAGCTTCTCATTATAATTAAATTGAGGGAAAAACAGTAGCATTGGTTGTCCAAGACATTTGCTTTTGAACAAAGAAACTTCTATGTTTGAGGTTGGATGATTTGAGAAAATCAGTCTACGAACTGATTTTAACCATGAAATCTTTAATCTTTCTTGGGATATGTTTGTAAATCTTGGATTCTGCATGCCTGTTTTGGGAGAGGCATATCCTGTCCTACATCTTAATTCAACTGTAGTGCTTACAGTATTAAATTAGCAGAAGAAAATTAACAAAATGCCAGTCTTTTATTTATTGTGTTGATAAGTAATGATGGCATACTTAGGAAGACTGCTGCAATTTGCATATCAAGAAATTTACACTGAATGTGTTTTCATAAATTCAGAAAGGGTTGACAGGAGAAGGATGTCAGTACTCTTGTTTATTGCATTTCTTAGCTCAGGTAACCATAATCCTTATTCTTGTCACCTTTTTTTTGTAGCCATGAAGCTGATGACTGCTTTAGTGAATGTGGCATTAAATCTTAGTATTAACATGGACAATACACAACGGCAGTATGAAGCAGAACGAAATAAAATAATTGGGAAACGAGCCAATGATAGGCTGGAACTCCTACTACAGAAGAGAAAGGAGGTTAGTGCAGCTGGCTAGCTGGTGTGCGTGGGATGAGTGTTGATAAATAAGTCCTGTTCTCTAATTTGTTTTCTTTGTAGAGGTAGTTATTAGTCCCCTGTGTTTCATTCTTTAAGTTGTTCATGTTTAATACCTGAAGAACTTCAAAAAGTGCTTCTCATCACCTGGTTTTCTGTAAAAAGAGGTAAATAGAGACTTAAATTCAGATAGTGAAGTCTTAGTCAAGTTAACAGGAGAGACTGCAATCAGTAAGAAATACTTTTTTTTTTTTATCATATTTCTTGACCAGTTTCCTAAACTGAGCTCAAATGTGTAAGAAAAATTATCCTACAATTGACTGTTTTTGGCATCTAGAGAGCCAGCCCATGGTCTTGGGGCAAAATAGTATTTTGTGATGTCAGTACCAGTCTCAGCAGAGTGTGTTGAAAGGCTTTAGATAAGGTTTTTTCTTTTACAGATACCACGATGAAAATTGAAAATGCAGTCTACTTGTGTTTTCTTTCTTTTTGTGTAAAAGGGGCTTGCTGATTCATTGCTGACAGAGCTGTCTTGTTTAAAGCCCTTATTCATTCAGGTTTAAGGGTTTTTTATTTTGGGGGAATTGGTGTTTTGGTATGTGTTTTTTTTGTTCAGTGGGTAGGGTTTTTCTAGACATTAGAAATAACCTCATGATCAAAGGAAATGTCTCACCTTTGCTTTTCAACTTCTGTGCTGTTAAGATCTGTACTTCGTTGACAGTTCAGATGTGCAGAAGGCAAAGTTGTTAGTTTATCTCACAAATGCCTTGCAGCTTGAAACTGATCCCTTAAACACTCTAAATCCCTTAAATGTAGTTATTCCAGATGCGTGTACAGAACCAGTCCTTTTATAAGCAATACACAGATACATCACAAAATGCAGTGGTGTGAGAATTAAAACTTTCACCAGTCTCAGTTGCGCTTACTATTGGCTTTTAGGATATCGGCTTCTGTAGGCAAGGTTCTTTACACTTTCTATCCATTCCCCTGCATATGTGCACCCGCTGTCTTGCACTTTGAAAGCAAGTACAATTTTTTTGTGTATTTATATCACTTTTTGACTCTTTTGTATGTCTTTTTTCTTGTTATTCAGAGGCTGGATTTGTTTCCTCCATTATTATTTTTCAGATTCAAATTCTTAAATGATTTTTTTTTTTTTTGGCAATACTTTACTCAGTTCCTGCATTTTTTCCCCTTTTTAATTAAGACAGAGTGAGTGATTTAAATTACAAATTCTTTACCATACAGAAAAGACTCCTTGTAATGCAGTTCCCATGATTTGGGTATTGTTCTAATAACAAGATGTCCATCAAAACGTAGCCAGTGTATTAAAAATTGGGCTGAATGTTTGGCTTAAAAACTTCCTAGAAAATTAAGTCCATTTTTCTTACAAATAACTTAAGAAGGAGCTTGCAAAAGCCTAAGATGCCTTTGTTACAGTTGAAGAACAGTTTTCCAGTGGTCAAAATCCCTAAAATTTGTATGCTGTGGTAGGTACAACTCCTTAAATAATAACGTATTGTACTGTGAAACAGATTTGTGAATATTTCATGAAAAGATTTAATGGTCATACTGCAAATGTTAACTTAGTTTGCCTTATTATCAGCACCATCTGATCTGAATGTAGAAGTGCTGCTCACTGTTTTATACCCTTTGTTCATTCTTTCAGCTTCAGGAAAATCAAGATGAAATAGAAAACATGATGAATGCAATATTTAAAGGTGTTTTTGTGCATAGATACCGGTAAGTTTTTCTGAGTAATTTGTAACTTCATTCATTTATTTTGGAAGCTGGTTACAAGTTATTTCTAATTATTCATCCATTTGATCCTATTGCCCTATTTACAGAGATGCAATTGCTGAAATAAGAGCTATCTGCATTGAAGAGATTGGAATATGGATGAAGATGTACAGTGATGCCTTTCTAAATGACAGCTACTTAAAATACGTAGGGTGGACTATGCATGATAAGGTAAGCTGCCTTGAGGAAAAGGAGCAGAGTCATGAAGGATAACTCCATGTGTTGTTGGTTGTTGATCTTGCCAGACTGGGTTCTGATCTTTTAACTGTTCTGATCAGTCACTACTGAGATGGGTGTCTCAAGGTGTTTCTTACCATTATTCTCTGCTTGGAGTGGTCAACAGATATGGTTTAGGAAGTGCTCCTCAATTTATTGTTGAGTCAGCACGTTGCAGTTCCTGCACTGGAAGCTTCAAGCTATGAATTTGAAGTGAAACAAATGAGGGATGTTCACTCGCGCTATGCTGTTCTTGGCTTGGGTGTCAAAACCCAATGAACTTTGGCAGTGGGGTGATAAACTGTGTGAAGTCAGGTGTCTCAGACTTCTGAAAAGTATTTCTGCATCTACACCTTAAACATGTTCTCTGCTAAGGCAGATCTTGTACGTCAGGAGGAATCTTTCTATCTTCTTGGCAATTCTGATCTAACGTGAGATGGTCATTAATGATGTAGGTGTTGCCAGTTTTAATTTAAGTGGAAAGAAACACACAGAATTCCACTTAGAAATACCTTGAACATTTAGAGTACATTTTTAAAGAATGAAATGAGTGTATTTTGACTTGCAGAGATACTAACTGCAGTAAGACATTGAGGTTGTTTTTTTTTTCTCCATTATCTTGTTGCAGACAAGGGCATATTCTTATGTCATTAATGTGATTACTGATAGTATATCTTCAGAACATTCAGTCTTTGAATTAATTCAGTCTGCAAAAGAAACTTGTCTTGTATGGTTTAAAGATCACATCTGTATCCTATATTTGACTTCTAATCCAGTTCTTAATTTTGTTTTAGCAAGGGGAAGTAAGACTCAAATGCCTAACTGCTTTGCAAGGGCTTTACTATAATAAAGAGCTTAATTCCAAATTGGAACTCTTCACCAGTCGGTTCAAGGTTAGTGTAACTTCATATTTTTAAGTACATACAAATTCTTTTAAAGTTGATATTACACTTCTTTCCTCTTTGAAAATACTTTATTTTGTGTTCTTAGGATAGAATTGTGTCTATGACTCTTGACAAAGAATATGATGTTGCAGTCCAAGCAATAAAATTACTCACTCTTGTTTTACAGTAAGTATATGTTTATCTCCTTATCTGACTAACAACAAATACTAAAATGCTCAAGTATTTCTCATACCTGTGGGCAAGGACAGCAGCTTGACAGAACTCAGATAATCCAAAATCTAGGGAAATGTCTGCGTCTCACTCTCAAATAAGAACTTCAAAAAGTAATATGGCTAGAGCAGTGCTGTTACTTACCACAGTTAAGTGTGGAGCCTAGCAACTTAGAATTCAGCCTCCCTAATTTGAAGCTATCGTGGATTGAAGAAATACAATATGTATGTGAACATTACACAGTAACTGAACTTTTGAGCATAACCTTCTACCAAATGCTCATACTTTATCAGTAGTTTTTGTTTAGGAAGACTTTGGAATTAAGCTATCTTGGTTTTGGTTTTAAGATTATAAATTTAAGGAAAATATTTAGATTGTCCTTCATTTTCATCTCCCTCATTAGAGTTCATAGTCTGTTGACTCAGCTTGGTTTCTTTCTTTCCTCCTTCTTATTCCCACCCCTAGGAGTAGTGAAGAAGTTCTGACTGCAGAAGACTGTGAGAATGTCTACCATCTGGTTTATTCTGCTCATCGGCCAGTAGCAGTTGCTGCAGGGGAATTTCTCTATAAAAAGTAAGATGGAGAAATTAGTTATTTTTTTGCACCTGTATAGGTTTTATTGTGAGCATTAATACTATGATTTCCATTAGTGTCAATTAATAAAATGAAAAATGGAGTAATGAAGTGGCCTTAAGAAAAAACTGAGTAATGAAATGGTCTTAAGAACAAACTTACAGAATATGTGATACTACTGTAGTTTTTGAACTGTTGCAGTTTTTCTGAATGGGAAAAAGAATAATTTTGAAGACTGTGCCTGAAAAGCTTGTGCCTACGGGGAATATAATAAAAACATTCCTATCTTCTCCTTTCCCATCGTTCCTGTGTTCTGTGAAGCATCTTAAAATGCTAATGTAGTTTGGTACTAAAACTTGTGCTTGCATTGTAATGGGTGTTTTCCCACAGTGTCATGTGCCCCCCAAGCTGGCTCATATCACCAGTTCATAAGGTATTTTTCTGTTTAAAAACATTGAAAAAACGAGAGAGTCAGTACACATCAGGTGTGTAGGAAAACAAAATACAGTTTCCATCTAGTACTTCCCAGATCTTCTTCCAGTATTTCTTTGTGGCTTTGAAGTCTTGTGTGGGGACATTCAGAAAACGTAATTTGATAAAGAGGAGCATTGGGACCTCCAGCACCTGCAGTTACCACCAGTGTTTGTAAAGTATTTTGTTATAATTATACGTTCCCTTGAAACCAGTCAGTGAAATACCAGTGCAGCATATATGAAATTGTTCAAATGATACTTGGCTCAAGTTACTTCCTTTCAAAATAAAAGCATGGAGCCAGGCAGCGAGGAATTGTGTGTCTGTAGAAAAACAGTATCTTGATGCGAGTTGACTGTGGCAAAGGCAATGAAGAAGAAACTTGTCCTGAAATAATTTTTCTTCTAGGCTTTTCAGCCGCAGAGATCCTGAAGACGATGGAATACTTAAAAGGAGGGGAAGGCAAAGTCCGAATGCGAATCTTGTGAAGACATTAGTATTTTTCTTTTTGGAAAGTGAAGTAAGTTGAGTTTCAGGGCTGTCCTTGATTTTGTGGTGTAGGTGGTGTTTGTTGGATTTCTGTTATTTGTTACCGGTTTTTCTTTTCCCCACTCATTGGTTAGTAGCTGTGAATCCATGCTGGTTTTCTCAGTATTTGAACAGCCTGGGAGCCAGCAGGCTGTTTAGTGTGGTTATGTTTATTTGAAGTATCTGACCAGTACACAGGGCTGAGACAGGCTGTGAGTTCTACTCTGACAAATATTCTTCTGTCATTCTTCATGCTAATACATAGGCAGAAAGAACTTGTGCTTTAGGAGAGTTATAAGGGGGGAGGGAAAACCAACCAACCAAAACATAACCCTACAACCACCACCCCTGCCCTCCAGTCCCCAAAAGTCTGATAGATCTTGTGGCATGACTCTTTGTAGCAGTTGGTCTGGATTAAACTTTTTAGATTAATTGAGGAAGAGGCTTCTGTTGAACCAGAGAGCTGGCAGAATTTTCTCTCTTCTTTTTTTATGCCACAGACAGGAGCCAAATGAGACAAATACCTGGTATCATGGCAAGTTCTCTAATGAACTTTATTACTGATAAAGAATAATAATTAATCTGTTCCCGTTTTAGTTGCATGAACATGCTGCCTATCTTGTGGACAGCATGTGGGACTGTGCAACAGACCTCTTGAAGGACTGGGAATGTATGAACAGTCTTCTGTTGGAGGAGCCTCTCAATGGAGAAGAACGTAAGAGATTTTTGTAGATCCTTGCATTGCTCTGCAGTTTTCTGTTAGTCTTGATTTATAAGAGTATAAGCTGTTTACATTTATGAGTCCCCAAATACTCTATTTTTACGTGACTGTAATAAATCACTAAATACAAACTATAGAATGTAAGGAAGACTAGAAAGACATCACTTCTAGTATGGAAGTGAGATACAGAACAACAGTGGTGGGGAGAAAAGAGGGGAATAAGCATGTAGTGTCCAGTTGCCTTGTTGTTCCACAGGTTCAGGCTGTAATTCTGGCTTTTAAGAAGCCAAGTTGCTTATGAAACTGGTTCATTTATTGAGTGTTAAAATTACCCTATGGAAAAATACTGTCATTTCTTTGATGACAGTAAAAACAGCTCAACCCCCTGGCATAATTCTGTAATTCGTAAGTCCTAGTAAGCAGACCTCAGAAAAATGAAAAGGAACTAAAATGATTCTAAAACTTGGTATTGTTCCATCCTATCCTTTGACTCATCCAGTTATATTCTCTCAATTTAAAATATTTTCTTGTGTTGTTTTATAGGGGGCTTATATTCTCTATCCACTGTGTCACCCCCACTCCTAGAAAAAAGCTAGTGGCCTAAATAACACCCCCTGCCCCCTTTATTTTTAACCCTTAAGAAAAGGGGGAAAAAGATACTGCCACACATTTTGATTCTTATATACTAATACTTGTAGAAAATGAAAAATCGAGCTGTGTATTAACATCTATTTCTTTAATTTCAGCTTTAACAGATAGACAGGAAAGCGCACTGATTGAAATAATGCTTTGTACAATTCGGCAAGCAGCTGAATGTCATCCTCCTGTGGGAAGAGGAACAGGGAAAAGGGTAAGAAGCAAAAAGCTACTCTTCTACAGATGTGGGAATTGCTACGTGGGGACAGTGTAGGAAGAAGGAAAACATTGTAGGCAGCTCCTGCTGAAGGGACTGAATTCAGGAATTCAGCTTTGGTCTTCGTAACCCCCAGATTCTCACTACCTGGCTAGTCCACTTTTTCTGGGCTTTGGCATGTGCTCAATACTATTTGGAGTACATTTGATTTTATTATTGAAGGTAGTACAGAATGAAAGAATATTGGTTGGAAAGGAGAACATAAATCAAAGTTTGGAGAAAGCAAAAACTGTTTTCAATTTGAAAGAGCAAAATGAGGGAAGAGAGCATACTTCATAATCTCTGTGATCATGCAAGAGTTTAGGCTGCCCTCTTTACTGGGGCATTAAGCAGGGATGGGAACTCCTTTCAAAGCTTTTGTAAAGAAACCTACTTATGAACAGATTGAGAGCTTGTATGGTCAGATTTGACGTATGAATTGAGTAAATATTATTAAAAAACATAAGCTGAAAGGTTTGCAGCTCCTTCATTGTCAAGACCAGCCTTCTTGTAGTGGTGTTTTGTGGCAGGGCAGGATTTATTTATTTTTTCATGAAGTGTCTCTCCCTCTTCCCCCAGTGTTTTACAGTGATACTAAAAGGTCAGTGTACCTGTCATTTCATTAATGGTAATGTAATACTGCATTAGAATCTTTAGTTGTAAAATCCTTACAATATTGATCTTTCAGGTGCTGACAGCAAAGGAAAAGAAAACCCAGCTGGATGACAGGACAAAAATTACTGAACTTTTTGCAGTGGCACTTCCTCAGCTGCTAGCAAAGGTGTGATTCCATTTCTTGCTTATAGCCGGTTGTTGATATCTTAACAAGTACAGTTTTGTAATTAACTGTATGACTTGTGCAAGTTTTCATTTTCTGTTATTAGTCTCTATTAGTATTCGATTGTTTTATAACAAATTATTTTGTCCAAGACTTTAATTTCAACTTTTTTTCCTTGTCAATATTACAGTATTCTGTAGATGCAGAAAAAGTCACCAACTTACTGCAGTTACCACAGTACTTTGATTTGGAAATCTATACAACAGGGCGATTAGAAAAGGTAAGGTAACAGTCAGTAAAACTTAACACAGAAGGAGAAGCCCCAGAATTTAGATTGGAATTTCAGTTGCCATTTATCATAACCCTTACTGAGAGTGTGAGACTTGAACTTCAGAGCTGTGACTGGCTCTGATCTTAAGGATACTAAAACTCTTGAGTTGTTAGAAAACTGTCTGGCAAGTTTCAACAGAGAATCTTGCCAGTTAGATGAACTTCATGCAAGAGCATTTACTGTCAGGTTATGGTGTTGCTTCAAGGTATGCTGCCTGACATATAAAGGTTGTAGAAATAGCTTAATTAATTTTCTGATCACTGAAACTGATTAATCACCATCTTCGTGGGAAAACTGCCAGATCACAAATCATGTATACTGTTCTCCTTTTATCTGCCATGGTGGTGAAATTGGTGTAAGCTATTCGCACCTCTCTTTTCTCCTTCTTAGATCTGCTGTATTGTGAAGCAAGTGGAAATTACTATATGGAAATAATACAGGGTCAGAAAAATAATAACATGTTCAGTTCACAGCACAGCTTAGCAGTGAGCAACTCAGGTTGAGGAGAGGCATGTAAGAACAACTTTAGTTGCTGACACTTCAGTGTTATGAAACTAAATCTTCAATTATGCAGCTTTTAAGAACACGCATAAATGTTTGTGTGAGTGGGAGATAAATGCGTCCGTGTTGTTCAGTTGTCACCGCAACTTCCAGTGTTAGATAAAACCATACTGACAATTGCAAATTTTAATTAAAATGCATCAAATCTTAGCCATTAACAAGCTCCTACTTATTTCTTTGCCAGATAGATTTTTAATATACTTTGAACTTCCAGAAGTGTTTTGTGCTCTGTATCCTAGTTACAAAAGTAATAAATTGAACGTATCTTTTAGAATTCCTTAAGGTTTATTAAAAATACGTGTGTTTGTGTGTGTATGCATGAGTAATTTTTTTTTCCATGTCTCATCTTTCTTGTAGCATTTGGATGCCTTACTGCGACAAATCCGGGATATCGTAGAGAAGCACACAGATATAGATGTCTTGGAAGCCTGTTCAAAAACATACCACGCCCTCTGTAATGAAGAATTCACCATTTTCAACAGGGTTGACATTGCAAGAAGTCAGTTAATAGATGAGTTGGCAGACAAGTTTAATCGACTTCTTGAAGACTTCCTGCAAGAGGTATTTTAATGTACAAGATCAACTTTTCCTGCCCCTGTAAATATTTCCAGTATGTTTTTCTGCCTTCCATAAGGGATGGGGTCTTCCCTCTGACTTTGAGTTGTGCAGTGAGGCAGAATACTACAACACTATCATTGCTGTGATTATATGAACTCAGACTGTTTTTTTATATTAGAACAGTGACTTTTCAGTTTTAATCTCTTTTCACAGGTGTCTTTTGGGAATTTGAAAAGTTTCAGATAAACTATGAAATTATGTAAACTTTTTACCTTTTAAGTTTTGAAGCTCATGGGAGGTGCAGTGTTGTAATTCCACTAGGATTCTCCTCAGATCTGCTAGAGCTGCTTCTCTTGCCTGTGATTGCATATTGCTGTTGTTAAATATCAAATCTCTTGAAAGCACTCCCCTTTTCTTTCTGGATGCAAGCAGATGCAATTAATAGCTGAAAAATCACTTTGTTCCCACACTGTGCTAATCTGAAGAGTGAGAATTTTCTGATAGTTTTTTAACATTGTGGGATCTCTGACATTCAGACAAAACTTGTATCTCCTCCTCCTCATCTGATAAGGAGCATGGGAAGTGTGTTTTTGACAACTTCATTCTCCACACTTCGCTGATTATTTTATCAAGCTGCTCCTGTTCCTCTTGCTTAGTGACCTGAGCTATGACTTCGCTCTAGAAACTGTAGACTTATGCAGACTATATAAGAAATGTGCCTAGTAATCCTTTTTTTTCCCCCCTTTGTAAGAAAAAGGAGAGCTAAAGCAAGGAAATTAAATGTCAGACTGTTGGCTTGAAGGGAAATAGCAAATACTTTGGTAGAAGTGCTGAAATCTACGGTGCTTTGATAAGGTTGTGCAACTCAGAACAGTAAAGCACGATGAGCTTGCAGTATCTCTGCTAAACTGAGGAGTTTCTGTGACCTTAGATATTGTATCCTGTGTATTTAAATATATATTTTTGGTTGGACACTTTCCTTTTTACTCTTTCTCCAAGTGCAAATTTGTCAAAACTTTTGGGGAGAATTAGAACAAATAATTTCTCTCAAGAACTTTCTTTTTCTGTGATTAAAGTAAGATTGAGGTACTGACCTGTGGCCCATCTAGTCCAGTATCCATTGTCTGACAGTGGCCTCTGCTGGATTCTTCAGAGAAAATTGAAGCACCTACCTAATACATTGCATTCCGCTATCCTAGACTTTTTCCTTTTTTTCCCCCCTTCTCTTCGCTTCCCCTTGAGTGTTTCTCCACATGCTGCTATTTCTAAACATGAGCTGCTACCTTCTCTCTCAAACTCTTCAGCTCTTCTAAAGCGAATACACCATCGATAAATAATTTAGATGCAGCTCTCTGCTTGCTGTTGGTTAGATTTGGGGTGTGTTTTTTCTCCTTGTTGTTTGGGGTGGTTTTTGTTTGCTTAAAAAAACAATCTGAAGTTCCCTTAGCTTGCTTAGCATACATTGCGTGTGATATCTTACTATATGATTATTAAATAGGGGGAGGAACCTGATGAAGATGATGCATATCAAGTCTTGTCAACACTGAAGAGAATCACTGCTTTTCACAAGTAGGCTTCTGCAAACATCTGTCAGGGTTTGTGGTGTTGGGGGGCGGTGGTTGTGTTTGGTGTTAATTTTACCAACTTTTAATACAACTTGGAGGGATTTTTTTTTATTTTTTTTTAGTGTGAATGATGAAGAGTTATGCAGAGCATGATGTATTTTGAATATATGAAGATTTTGTATATATAAAATGAAATCTTCTGGTTTTATTATTTGCTTTCATGTAATTTTTTTGTGGTGTTGGGAGTGTGTTTTGTTGAGGTTTAGTGGGGTTTTTGTATGTAGCCTTTTTTGGGGGTGTTTAGGTTTTTAATATTTTAGACCTGTTAAGCTTTTAGTAGTTGTTAACATCAAACTGCAGAAATGGTGTTAGTTAAATTACATCTTTGCTTCATTTCTTATGTTCCCAGTGCTCATGATCTATCAAGATGGGACTTGTTTGGCTGCAACTATAAGTTATTGAAAACTGGCATTGAAAATGGAGACATGCCAGAACAGGTCTGTAGTTAAATGTGTTCTATAGGTACAACAGTAAATAGCTTTTGTTGTTGTCTTTTATTGGCCTCTGTCATCTAATACCTTTTCTCTTTTGATTTCAGATTGTTATTCATGCACTGCAGTGCACTCATTATGTAATCCTTTGGCAGCTAGCAAAAGTCACTGAAAGCAGTTCCACAAAGGTATGCCTTGTTCCAGTTGTACTAGTAAACAAACATTTGTATGTACCTGCAGTGTCATCAAGTGGGAACTGTAATGGAATTAATTAAGACTAAGATTTTTTTTGTTTAATACTGATGCCTGCTTTAATCTGCTTTTCTAGTAAGTTCTTCAGAATTCATAATTTTAGTAGTGGAATGCTTGACTGTTAAACCCAGTGTTTCTCTAAATTATTATAGTTTTATTATTTAAATATCATTACTATTCTTATTTTGACAGAATTTTAAAGTAGTAGTAAATTGTAGTAAATAAATGCATTACCTATTAGTTTGGCACAGGAACAGTACTAAGGAGGGGTAGAATGCCAACTGAAAAACACTGTATAGTCAGTCTTACTGTTTGCAAGAGGTGAGCTTGAATTCCTTTGCAAACTCTAAAGTATCAATGGCAAGTCAGTGAGAGAAAAGAATTTGCACACTGCTGTAACATTCTTACTGCTCAGTATGTTGCAGTGGCACTTAGCTCTTCATCAGTCTTTTAAATGTGTTGTTAAAGACAGGAAAAGATTAAGTTCAGTTTCAGACTTTCTCGGGGAATAAGAGGGCCTGTTCTGTGTCTATGTATAGCTGCCTTGAAGGGCAAAGCTCTGGCAAATGTCATCTTTCTTAATTTCACTTCTTGAAAAATCTTGGAGGAAGGATTAAGGTTTCTTGTACTGGAAGGCATTGCTTGAAGAGGGCGATGAGGTGGTTTGCTGCGTGAACAGGCTAATGAAAGACGGGTTTTGAAAGGCTAGGCAGTTCAGAATGGAGTTTAAGTGTTGAAGCATTTTGATTTCTTTAACTAAAAAAACAAACCTTATTTTTTTTTTGAAACCTACAGTACTGTGAGAAGAGTGTATTTTGTGCTCTTTCACTGGAAACTTATGCTGGGATTGCACTTTGTTATTGGAGTTACTGATAATACATCCTTTATGTCAGAGATGAAATAAGTACATTCTTCAGGTTTCTTCAATGCTTGTATTGCCATACTTAAGAAGAAGTAGTTGTAGACATCTGTCATAATTTATTAGGGAGAAAACAAAGAGAACTAATGGCATTAATAATTCATAATATACAATTTACAATTTGTAATTAATAATCCATTATTATGCTAAACTAACTTCCATGTGGGGATGTATAAATTCTTTCTTTTAGGGTATGCTAGCATGAGCTTCTGGTAGGTACAGGAATGGAGATGCATGCTTTGTAACTTGTACTAATGTTTTTTATAGCAGAGAGCACCTTTGTGAGATCATAGTGTTTCTTTCTAGTTTTAGCTATCATATTGAGATTTCATTAGCCCAGTGAATAATTGTGGCCTTACTGATTCAATGCTGGCTGGCTAAGCTAGTTTACCCATCTGGTTCAATGGCTTTTAGCATTTCCAAACCCTAAAATATCTGATATAGATACATAAACTATTGAGAACCACTTAAGTGAGTGAAGGATCTGGAAAGCATCTGGAGGCTTTGTTAGCTTTTTCTTTAAAGGGTAGTCATCAATCTGAGTCTGTTGTAACAGTGATTAAACCTTTATCACAAGCCTGCTGGCAGAAGCAGAGCTAAATACTGGAAAGCTAGGTTATAGATGAAGATGTGGTCCTTTATTGAGACTGTTGTCCACTCCTGTATAATAAAATGGGGTAAATTAAAGCTTTCATAGTTGTGGTTCAGATGTTAAGCCTGTTTTATTGTATTTAACGGCTTGATTGCTGCCAAATAGACTAGGTAAGTGAAAAAGTTCCATTGGCTTCCGTTCAGTGTCATTGGAACATAACAGCGAAGACGTTGAAATGCACGAACAGAAGTGACAGAAATGTACTGTGCCTAAAGTTTTGTGTGGTTTTTTTTTGTTTGTTTGGGTTTTTTTGCTGTGGCAACTGCTGCCTGTGTGCTGGATTTGAACAGGTTGACTAAGTATGGGAAACAGCTTCATTATATAGGCTGCTAAAATAAGAGACTAAATAGTTCAATTTTTATTAAAATTTAAATGTTTAATTCTTCATGAAGGAAAGAATAATTCTATGTGTAATTCTCTTAACATCAGTATAAGTAATCTGAATGGTAAATGTTGAGAGAAACGATTTTATGTTAGTGAATGTGTTCTAAAATCACAGTCAAGAAACAGCCGTTGAGATTCCTATTGAGGTTAAATAATGTGTTGTAGCAGTGTGTTACCTGCTTCCTTGAGGGAAGAGACTTGTTTTGATTTAGATAGTGAGGATAGTTTTTAAACTTCTCAGGGGTATTTATTTTGTCTGCGCTGATGCTGGTTACACAAGTGGTCTTCCCCTCTTCTACATGGGCTAAAATCTTCATGTGGCTGAGTAACACCAACTATGCCACACACATGGATGGAATTTGTACCAATTGGATACTTTTATTTTCTCAGTAATCTACTTCTCTGGAAGTTGTTGCAGCACTTAGAAAGCTACAGATTTTCTTCCTTTTTTTTTTTTTTTCCAATGGAAGAGGGGTAAAACCCCCCAACTCCCATCTGACCTTTTACTTTATCCCCAGGCAGTGAGTTACAAAACAAAATCAATAATGCCATGTAGCCTTGTTACTGTAGTTACGAACAGCTACCTAAAATCTATCCTCTAGGTTGAAACTATGGGTATTTTAAAGAGGAAATGCTTTGTGCTCTGGGATCTTGTTTGGGTTCGGGGAGGGGTGGTGGTGTTGGTGGTTGGTTGTTTTTTTTGGGGGGTGGGGGGGTGGGTGTAGGTGTTACTGTTGTTTAATAACTCATTTTACCGTTTTCATCCCAACTTTCATCTCTTTTTTTGCGGTACATGGGATGACAAAATTAAGGAAATTGCTGTCTGCTGTTTGTAATAGTGATTTTAAAATAATGCAGTGACCTTGAATATTGCAACTGTGTGTCTGTGGTGCATAGTCCTGTGAAAATGTCACTATAAAACTGTACAAGCAAACCTGTTACATGAAATCCTTCTCTTTAAAGGAGGATCTTCTGCGTCTGAAGAAGCAGATGAGAGTGTTCTGTCAAATCTGTCAACACTACCTGACTAATGTAAACACTGCTGTTAAGGAACAGGTTAGTGATGTGTTCATTCTTGTAGTCTTCTAATATACTTCTAAAGCAGTTGAAAAGTTCCTCTTGCTAATATTTTTAGGGCTTCTGTAGGAATGTGATGCTTCTTGGATGCTGAGGCTGAATGCCCTTCAAGTGTGAATGCATAGCGTGCTTGCATGGTTGTCTTCCTTTAGCTAATTTAGGTAGGATTTGGAAACCAATTTAAACTTTATTCTGTTAATTTTAGGCAGCATAAGCTTCTATTCAAAGACAGATTTGTATATTTGTTTAAGCAATGACTGGGCAGGCTCTCTATAGAATCCTTCTATTTTGTAAGTTAGGTGGGAGAGTTCCATATCAAAGCTCTTGCTTACCAAGTGGTCGTGACACACACCTCTGGAGAGGCTCATTGTGGATTCATAGAAATGGAACTGGAAAAGCTAGGGACATCTGCTTAAAAGACACAGGTTATTTTTTTAGTTCTGTCTTGGAATGCTTTTACGTTCATCTCGGATTTTTACTATGATGCATATGTGCTCGTCCACTCAAGAGCCATGAAAACAACTTTTTTCCTCTTTCTATAAACCTGTGAGGACATACTGGGGCAACTTCTCGGTCTGCTCCCCTTCACCATGATGCTGCATGCAGAATATATTCCTCGAGTCTTTGGAGTCCCAGGAGGTTGGGGATCAATGAATCAGGAGAAAAATAATGGGTGCTTAACATGAGTGTGTGTTCATACATTCACATACAGTGTGCACTGCAGTCTGCATTTCTTTTTTCATGCTCACCCTTGGCTACACTCACACACTGGTCAGTTGTTAACAGGATTGTTTAGAGATCTTTGGAGACCACTCCAGCAGGTGCTTGGAAGCCTTAACAGTGATGTAGTGCTCAGAAGAGATGTGAGCAGTTTTCACATTACCAGTTTTATAGTCAGTGCCTCCTACAACTGTACTCTCTGGGGGAGAGTTTTACCTGGAACTAAGTTTTTGCATATTTCTGACATAAAATATGTAGGTATTTAGTCCTCGCAAGCAGTGCCTGACATTTCAGGCAGCTTTTGTCCCAAGTTGTGGCTTTTTGGTTAAAAAAAAAAAGGAAGCATGAAAGTTTTGGGTGTTTTTATCTTTCTTCTGTTCCGAAAAGAATTGAGACATCACCTTGGGAAATACTTGTTCTGAGGGCAGTAGGGTCAAAGGAAGAGGTTAAACTGTAGGGGCTGAGTCTCTTCCAGTTTGTGGTCAAGTAGTTCTCTACCGATGATGCTCAAAGGAGCCTCAGATTCCAGTGAAGAGCACAGGTTACTGATAGAAGGATTAATTTTAAGTAAATGCCTTTAACAAGTCCAAAATGAGAAAACAAACCAGCCTCTGTGGGGGAAGGACCAAACTATCTTCTGGGCATACTTTTAATTGATCATAAAGCCAGGAGATTTTGCTGCTGAAGGTAATAGTAACCTGTTTGAGCTTGAAGTTGAAAATCTGGTGCAGAGTTGCACAGCTGCAGGTTTTGAAGCTCTTGGTAGAACAAGCATATATTCCTGGAACTGAATAGACGTGTTCTGTCAGAGAGCTATTGAGTGTGAAGATCGCAAGGTGCAGGGTGTGAAATGCAAATAACAGAAATCACTAAACCTGGGAGTAGGTCTCTAAAAAACTGTAACTCTTGGACTCAGGTGAATGCTCTAGAAACTACAGCTGCCTCAGTCACAGAGGCTACCAGAGCCATGGTTCTGCTTTCCTTCCCTAATCTCCTGTGATGGCACAAGGGTCTTCAGAGGAGCGTATGTAATTCTGTGACCAGGAAATTAGTAATATTTGCTTTGAGGAGTTAGAGAACAGATCTGTTCCTTAAAATGGAAGTACTTAAGAGATTAGAGTCTAGGGGATGAGGTGCAGCACTGCTCAGTGTGTTGCCTTGATCTGTTCATTTGAAGAGTGCCAGTCTAGGTCCTGATACATTCTGGGGGTGTGGAGTATAGTCAGGTCAGAGGCACGAGTTAGCCAGCAAAATGAAGGGGTGTTTGCTTTTTTGGAGGCAAGACATACATTAGGGTTTAAAGGGATTGAATGACCTCAGCTGTTGGATGTTTCACAAATGTGGTTGAAACAACTAAATAAAAAAAAGAAAGGAAAAAGGACACTATACTATGGTGGTGTTCACAGAGTTCTGCAGTGACTTAATATATCCATCAGGCAGAAATTGGGAGTTTAAGGCTCCTCATGTTTTAATCTCACAATGTTTTAATACTTAGTTGGCTTCATTTGTGCAATATTTTTATTTGGAGACCCAGTCTTTGCACAACAGCCTCCTGTAAGGAGCTGTCCATATTTTGGCTTCCAGGGGTCCTGCATAGTTGCTTTGGACTTAAGTGGCCTGTATGTGTATATGGGCTCTATGTTACGTGGAAATATAAAATCCGGTATTCCCAAGTATTTACTAAGGTTTCTTTTTAATAGGCTTTCACAATTCTGTGTGACGTGTTGATGATCTTCAGTCATCAGATCATGACAGGAGGACGTGACATGTTGGAGCCACTTGTTTACACTCCTGATTCTTCATTGCAATCTGAACTACTCAGTTTTATTTTAGATCATGTCTTCATTGATCAGGATGATGATAATAATAGTGCAGGTTTGTACAGAACTTGCGTTTCCTGTATATTATTTGCCTTCTAACTAAAATATTTGTTTGCCTTTGCTTTTATTTCTTGTGGGTTTGGTTGGGTTTTTTTTTTCCCCTTTCTTTTTTTCGCCTCTGGCATTGAGAGGTGTTCATGGGCACAGAAGTAGGTTTGTCTTTTAAATGTCAGCATCCAATTAAAGCATTTTATGTTTTGGCGCCATACAGGATAATTGTGGTAAAGGTTTGGTTCAGTAGGCACAAATATATATGTCTCCACATCAGGACAATAAAGTGCACTGCTGTCAGAATTGAGACTTCATTTTTCAGAATCCTGACGATTAGCCCACATCAGTTAATGTATCAGTGCTTAAATATGAAGTATTGAAACATGACAGCTTGTATGTTCTGCACTCTTTCTAGATGGACAGCAGGATGATGAAGCTAGCAAAATTGAAGCATTGCACAAAAGAAGAAATCTACTTGCAGCTTTTTGTAAACTCATTGTATATACTGTGGTGGAAATGAATACAGCTGCAGACATTTTCAAGCAATATATGAAGGTAAATCTGAAGCTTAGTAGTGATGCTTCATAAACCTGCTAGAATACAGTAGCTGTGGCTTTCATATTATTTTGTATTTTTTTACCTTGCAAAGTAACTGGTTCAGAATGTGAAGAATTCAAACCTCTGGAGTTGGTAGTTCATAGACCTTTTAAAATGCTTTTTCCATAAGAAGGGGAAAAAATGACTTGATAGTAGTTTCACAGTTCCAGTGTGTTACTGGGGAGGGAGGAAGGAAACCTGGTGATTATTTTTACATTGTTTTAATAGATATATTTTCTTATCCAGATCAGTGGTATATTTTTAGTTCAGTTACTAGTGTAGCAGGCCTTTCGAGAATCTTCTCGCAAAGATCAGCTCCATTATCTTTACTGTAAGGGTGGTGAGGCACTGGAATGGGTTGCCCAAGGAAGCTGTGAATACTCCATCCCTGGCAGTTGGCTTGGGCAGAGCCTTGGGTGGCATGGTTTAGTGTGAGGTGTCCCTGCCCATAGCATGCGGGTTGGAACTGGATGATCTTAAGGTCTTTTTCAGCCCTAACTATTCTATGATTCTGTGTCTAGCCTCATCCAGTAATTTCAGCTTAAACTTTGTAGAAGAGATAAAATTGTTTTGAGTAGCCTCCCCCCAGTTTTTACATCTGTTTTTATCTTATTTGAATATGAAACCCTGTGCTTGGCTCCTGGGATTCACAGCTGCTCAGTTATATGAGTTCTCATTTTGTGAATATAATAAAGCTTTGCTCCTTGGTGATTACCTTAAAAATTAAAAATTTGGACAGCCTGCTTTTGTCTGAGTGCCCTACGTGTATTTTGAATCTCTAAAGAGATAACTGGGTCTTTCTTGAACTTGAAATACTTACAGAACTGAACAGGCAGCTTTCTTCATTGGAAAAATGGCTATGACACTGTTAGTGTTTCCTTTCAGCAAACAGAAAACTCCCCACCAGAGATAGAGGACTTACTAAAAAGATTAGATTCTAATCTTGTACCCTGAAGGGGTGAACACATGTTATTAACAAATGTGTCATGACCTTGAAGATAAATAGGTCATTCTGCCTCTAAAGTAATGCTGACAAGAAGAGTGTGAACTGGATATTATACTACTTATTTGAGGGTGTTTTTAAATATTTTGGAGGTGGTTTAGGATATTCTGATGATATAATCATGAACATGTTAGGTTTTTTTCCTTTTGCAAGTCTTCAGGTTTGTTTTTTTTTAAGATTTTTCTGAAGAATGCAGTAGTTGTAATGTTTTCAACTAAAATTGGAAGTTAACCTTTTTCTTTTTTTTTCTAGTATTACAATGACTATGGTGATATTATTAAAGAAACAATGAGTAAAACAAGACAGATAGATAAAATCCAGTGTGCTAAAACACTTATTCTTAGCTTGCAGCAGGTAAGAATCATTTACGATATTTTTTTTGCATGTAATTCCTTCCTGTAGATAACGCCCTGTAGTTTAATAGCTAGTGTGAGGTATTAATGATGAAATGCTTATGGACAGTAGGGATGAGTAGGTCTAAACTGGAACACATTTTCTGCAGCTGTTGAAAAACTGCCAGAAGTCTTCCTATACTTAGAAAATACTGTGCTACACAAAGTGTATGCAGGAGCCACTTGAATAAGAAATGGATGTAACTCCATGATACCTTCTTAACCCTGAACCGATAGGTGGTCACATATTCAGAAATGTGTTGTGAAAATAGTAGTTCATTTACTCATGGACAAGAGAAAACACTTCCTGCCTCTGTGGTGGGGTTTGGTTTTTACTTGTAGTTGTTTTCTTTTTGTTTGATTGTTCCCCCATTTACCCTCCCATTGTTGACTTCTGTTTTTCTTGAAGGGTGGTGGTTGGTTTTTTTTTGTTTCTTTTGGTTTGATTTTAAACTATTCTGAGAATTAATGAGAAGTTTTAGTAATTCAGTATTTCTTAATGTTTGGTAGGGGCTTCACCCATCTTTGAAATTAAAACTTGATTTAATGCTCTCTTCAGTAAAAGAGCTTGTTTGTGTGGAGACCTGATGAATTCAGTCGAGGTCAGAGTCGGATTCGTCTGCTCACATGAACCATCTGCATGAATCTTTACTTACAGGATCAGAACAATAAAGCCATATCTCTGCAAATCACTGTAATCCAACATAGATCTCTGCTGTTGTCGAAAGGAACACGTGTTGATAGGAAAAGCGTACCGCAGTTTGTCCTCTTTCCTCACACCTCATTTTTTGACTAGAGGTCATAGAGCCACATAGTGGACGTAGATCTACATACTGATCCTGGTTTAGAACTCACCAGAGAAAGTCCTTAAGCCCCATAACTGGTTTATCCGTATGGGTATTGCCAATATGAGGGAGGATGAGGCCTTTCCTTTTTTAGCAGTGTGACTTTGTAGCTGGTGGAAATGCAACATAGAATGGGCAATTAAATACTCCTGCAGTTTTTGCTGGCTTTTCACCAGAGTTTACAATTTTTTGTGATACTGGTTAAATATTACCCTCCTTAGTCTTTTCTGTCTCAAGAATAACCAGCCCCTTAGATTCTAAAGGACAGACAAAGTGAATGTTGTAAGCAAAATTACACATGAAACAGGGTGGCAGTTACACAGTTCTCATGTGGCAGTAAGAATGGTAACATGGGGGGACCCAAGTATTACAAAGCAAACATACAGAAGAAACCCTCAGGAATTGAAACATGTAACTGGCTTCAGGAAAACTGCTTAAAAAAGAAACTAATGAGAAGAAATACTAAAAGTGATAGTGGATAAAGGGGAATAATTAAGCTAATGTTCCTAGCTCTAGTCTGGTTTTGGTTTATTCTGTCTTACATAAGAGAGTGACCACCAAGTGTTTTAGAATTAGAAAATACTAGAAAAACTTACTGTTTAAGATCATTATAGTCAAATTCAGGGGAATAAGAAAAGGATTGATGAAGCTGAAAAGATGAAGTTGATTGTTCAGCTTTGCCAGCTTGTGATAAATAGTTGAAATTTGGGTTCTCAGTGGCAAAGGTTTTGGTGTCTTTGGTAGCTTCCTTGAAGGCATGTGTCCATTTTAGAATTTCTTCTATTATTCTTGTATTTTGAAAAGATAAACAGAATTAGCAAGTAGTAGTTGAAAAGCTGTTATATTTATAGTTTGATAGTGTGCAGAGGACAGTGTGCATTTCAAGGATTAACTCTGAAGTGTAGACTCTTGAAGAGTATTATCGACTTGGCTTTCCAAAGCCTTGACTTGGTTTTCCTAAACCTCCATGTTTGTCTTTTGGGGTGGTTGAATTATGAGAAAAATGCTGTAAACCACTTTTATACTGATACTTAACTTTGTGTTGATTGCTCCGAAGTTTGGCAGTCTTTTAATAAATGAAAATCTCCTTTTTCCTTTCATACAGCTTTTCAATGAAATGATTCAAGAAAATGGTTATAATTTTGACAGATCATCACCAACGTTCAGTGGCATAAAGGAACTTGCTCGACGTTTTGCTTTAACGTTTGGGTTGGATCAGTTGAAAACAAGAGAAGCTATTGCTATGTTACACAAGTAATTGTGTGCTTTGTATTACTTCCTTTTTCATAAATGCCTCTTGACTAAAGTACCTTTTTAGTCTTTCAAAATCATTTTGCTAATGCAAAACGCATCAACACTAGAGATGTAACCCATTGATAAATTATGAGATGACTGCAGTTTTGTGCCTGAATTAAGCCCAAATAATAAGTAATATTGGTGTTCTTCAGCACCACTGTATAAGCCTTTAAATGACAGCAGTGTTGATGCTATCACGAAAAAGTATTTTTAATCTCTTACCCATAACAGTAAGAACTGATTACCGACTCCATTATTAGTGGTGGGTTGTGTTGGACTTAGGCAGAAAACTTGAAGTGCAAGGTAGAAACGTCGTGACAGAAAGAGTGTGTGCGGATTCAAATAATGAATAGTGTTTACTTTTTTGTCTGCCACAGTATGGAAACCTCAAATCATTGCTTTCTTGACAGAGAAGAAAGGTGTTCAGTTTTGATAGCTTCCAGTGCTTAGAACTTCCTCTTCAGTTTGTGCTTGATGTGACTTCATTTATAATTTTTTCTTAGGGATGGCATAGAATTTGCTTTTAAGGAGCCTAATCCACAAGGTGAGAGCCACCCACCATTAAATTTGGCATTTCTTGATATTCTGAGTGAGTTCTCCTCCAAACTTCTCAGACAAGACAAAAGAACAGTGTAAGTATTATTATTCTTAGTATTTGTAATGATAATCATAAGAGCTGCATCCGAATAAACATGTGTTTGTGTGTACTGCATTTACCTAAAGTGGAATCTGGCACATGATAATTTTACATTAATGCAGTCAAGTATAATCGCAAAGGATAAATTGTATTTATTCTTGTTATTCTCATTTTATGGTGGATGAACAGAAATCATGTTCTGGATTTTCCGTTGCCAGGTGTTTTTGTTAGCTAGATGAGGAGCTTCGGATGTTAAGTGCAGTAGTTGCATGTCTTGACATGTTAACATCTTGTTACAGATATTTTGCATTGTTGTAATTATTTTTTTCCATTTAAAGGTACGTTTACTTGGAGAAGTTTATGACCTTTCAGATGTCTCTACGAAGAGAAGATGTGTGGCTTCCTCTCATGTCCTACAGAAATTCTTTATTAGCTGGTGGGGATGATGATACTATGTCAGTGATTAGTGGAATTAGTAGTCGAGGTTCTACAGTAAGAAATAAGAAGACAAAGCCAGCAACAGGGAAACGGAAAGTACCTGAAGGTAGGACTTTCCTCATCTTAAAATGTACTAGAGTAGATACCCATATGAACTACACGTGTCAATACTTGTTAGCTTGAGTGAATTTGTATGCTTTAATGTATTTTTTTAAAGCAGGGTAACTTCTATGCATTTATGTGTCTTGGTGAGAAAACTATTCATTTGAAGAGCCTGAATAATGTAACACTGATTTACAAAAGAAAATAAAGGCACTGTGCTGCATTAAGTTATAGAATACAAAAGTATTTTAAATACCCTAACCAGGGGTTGTAAATCCAGGCCTTTCAGGGCACGTGGAAGACTTTCTGGCAAAAAGTAGTCATGCTTAAACTTGCAGCTTTAGGTTAGTTTGGAAAACTTCACTGATGTTCTGTGTTGCCTTCCAGCTGAAGAAAGCAGCAGTAGCGACAGTATGTGGCTGAACAGGGAGCAGACGATGCACACACCAGTGATGATGCAGACACCTCAGCTTACTTCCACTATAATGAGGGAGCCCAAGAGATTGCGACCTGAAGAAAGTTATATGGGTGTCTATCCTATGCAGCCCGAACACCACCAAGCTCCACTTGATTACAAGTACGTAAATGAGTAGGTCTGCTTTGTGTTAGTGTTCATACACAAAACCAGTTCATGTTTAAAATAGAATAATGGTCTTTTTAAGCACGCAAGTAACGTGGATGTTGGCTCAAAGGCAACAGGAAGAAGCCGCGCGACAACAGCAGGAGCGGGCAGCGATGAACTACGTCAAGCTGAGAACTAACTTGCAACACGCTATGTGAGTAAGAGTGGAATGGTCTTTCAGTGTTTTGGGAAGGGGAGGGTTTATTAAGTGCAGTGTTATTTGTGTATCTTTCAAAAGGGATACATTTTACAGTTTTCTTTGTCTTAAAACTTGTGAAAGTGCATGATAATTTAGCAGTATAGATCCATTTGATTTCTTGCTTATTTTTGAACTGAACTTCCAGAAAAATTAAATAGTAGTGAGATAAGGGACCTGGTAATTGAACTGAATGCTGTGTATGGCAGGAATATATAATCAATATACATGACACATCTTTATGTATAACTGCAGAATCATTTTTAGAATAGAACATTAAAAATGAGCCTTATAAAAGTGTTCAGTGTGTGGAGCAGAAGTTTCTGCTTAGTTCAATTATACTGTTCCTTTCTCCTTTGAATTCTAAGATGCAAGTTTAGAGTTCTGCTGACGATGCTTTTTACTTCTGAAAACAATTCCTCCTTTGAAAGGAACTGCTGTCTTCAGCATTTCTGTGACTGATGCAGATTTTGTCTGGCCTAAACTGACACCAGTGTTGAGAGGAATCCTTTACCAGTTTTTGTAGGGCTTCCCAAAGCAAACACACAAACCATGTGAAGTTCTCCATATTGTGAACATAGATAAAGACATTCTAGTGTTTCTTAAATGAATGTCCTTCAGAGGTCGTATATTCTTACTGTAGTGTCATTCACTCCATTATGATTCATCCCGCATGCATTTTAATATACACACTAGTGAAGTTATGTTCAAGAGTTAGTTTAACTGAAGAGGGGAAGACTAGTTTTAGAAGTTCTCAGCTTCAGTAAAACTGTGTGGTTCTAGAGAAAAAAAGTATAAGTTATAAACTAAAACTACAGACATACATATATTGAGGAGCTTTACATCTTTCCCCTACTTGTTTTAAATTCTTTAATACCAGTGCTTCATGTAACGTAGTTTATGTTCAGTGTAATCCAGAACGACTCCTTACTTTAAAGTTTTGGTGTTGCATGTAGAAGTTATGAGGCGAGAGACTGAAAGGCTGTGTGGGAATGTCTGAAAATGGATTTATGAATCCACTTTATTGCAAAGACATTCTTCCTTGCCTTGTCTTAAGGCAGGAACAGTTTTTCATTAGGTGGCAGATCTTAGATTCTTTCTCACTTGAGGAAAAGTGCTTACATGTAAATCTTAACTCAGGTGTCGTTTTGATCTGCTTATCCATTCCTGCAGCCTCTTAAAATACCCATGTAGGGATCTACCACAAAGTTCCATAAGTTGATCTTTGTTAGTTGTTCTCTCTCGCTCTCTTAGAATCTTTTAGTTGGTTAAATACCAGCCTTAGTAGTAGTTATGCTTTTATTTAATTAGTTTCTTTTATATCTAATGAGATTGTCACTTGTTGGCAGTTCCTTACTGAACGTTAGCTTTTTAAATACTTAGATAAAACTTAACTTGATCTAGTCCTAAACAGTATGCTTTATCATTTTATTTCAGTCGACGTGGCACAAGTCTAATGGAAGATGATGAAGAGCCAATTGTGGAAGATGTGATGATGTCATCAGAAGGGCGGATTGAAGATCTCAATGAAGGCATGGATTTTGACACCATGGACATAGACCTAGTAAGAAAACTACTCGTCTTTTTAAGGGATTTTGGATTTGTATTTCTGCTTTTAAAGAGGGCATTTGAATCAAATTTTTTGTTGTGGTGAAACAAATCATTCTCACTGATCTGTGCATTCGTAGGTGGCTGTGCCACTATCTGTATACAAGTGCCATCTGTCCAAACTGCCATACAAAAAGCAAGAACACTTGCTGTAATAGTAATGTGAGAGGTGAACATTTATCTCCTGTAAATTCTTATCCCCTGGGAGTTCAGCTTCATTTATTACAGTTTAAAAACTTCATTGTTTTTCCTGAAATTAGAGTTAATATGCTTGTTTCCTTGCTTTTTAAAGCCACCATCAAAGAACAGGAGAGAAAGAACGGAACTAAAACCAGATTTCTTTGACCCCGCTTCAATCATGGATGAATCGGTAGGTTAACTTACATAGAGGAAAATAATGTAAAATCAGCCATAGAGTTACAATACTTACTCACTTCAAGTGTTAAATGGAAAGAATGCAATCTTTAGGTTTTCTTCATTAGCTTATTTTGGCAGACTGGTACAGTCAGTGAAATACTTTATGCTGTAATTCAGCTTCATAAATTCTAAGATAGTCAATGTTCTTTGCAAGTTTGTAGGATTTTTTTGTTCTTAATACTTTCTATGTAGCTATGTAAAAATCAAAAGCCTTTGAATCTGAGAAGAAAACACATCTGGGATGGAAAAAAATCCTTGCAGAAGTTGGTAGCAAAGACCTTAAAAAATAAAACTTGTGCATACACTTATATTAAAGGCACGTTTCCTGTTGTGATGAGCTTAGCTGAGTGACTGATGTCATTACCAATTGTCAGCATTGGGTGGTTTTGCAGTGGTTTAATATATATATATATATTTTTTTTTTAAATTGGCATATTTACTTTTGTGCATAAGTAAGATAATGGAGAAAATAGAGATAATACAGATATCTGTTTATAGAGATGAGAGGTATTTTTTCTTTCCATATAAAGTTTTAGGTCCAAAACATCCGAAGTCTGTAGTTTCTGCTTGCAGTTGCCCTTTTTTCCGACTTGATAAATCTGCAGTCTCTATTCTCTTTTAAAAAATCTGCATGAGGGATTCCTTCTGTCTTGAACCACTTGTAATGTATGCAGCCATTTTTGACCTTGTGTAGCTGGTACAAAATTACACTGGAAATAACAAGCTACAGCAAGCCAGCAGAGGACAGTGCAACAAGGCTTCCTGGGAATCTTGGACAGCTTGGTGGAATTTGGAAGACAGTTATGTATTTTTTTACAGCATTGTTGCAGTGTGAACCTGTTCTTGTTATGGGAGAAAGAAGTCTTAAATGCCGTTTTAAATGCAAATCCATACATTTTGTACCAGTAGGCCTTTGCGCTAGTAGTAATGAATCAGATTAGGTTGTGCATCTGGCTGTTGTGTGTTCTGTTTCTTAAGTAACACCAAGGAAGTTCATCACCTGTTTTCTGACATTCTGTTTTAAAATAGTTCTTCCCTTCCCCTTCTTGCTTTTTAATTGATCTGTGAAATACCAGTCATTTTCTAATCTGACTATACCAAAAATTTGGTCTTCCACATGTGCATTTCATTGATTTGAGAAACCTTTCAGCTTTTGGGTTTCTAAAGCTAATTCAGAATAGTTCTAATCAGTTTGCTGTTGGCTAGGTTTCTTTCCTGTTAATTTCTCATTCACCACCACCCTTCCTGAGCCTGGATTTGCCAGGCAGTCCTCAGCTGCAGTGTGTGAGCATCACCACATGATGGCAGCCGGCTACAGTCGCATTGCTTTGCAGGCTCTTGAGCCAGAGCTGAGGGCCCAGCGGTGGCCTGGTCCCATGTGCCCTCTGCAAGGAGGGAGCAGTGCTGCACTGCAGTGAGATGCTATGGTCCAGGGGTCATCATCTAGTAAACCTCCCTCCCAGGTAGGATGCAGGCAGGGGGGGTGATCCTGGAAGCAGGACTGCAGAAAACAGCTGCATCACAGGACACAGCTGCTCTTTAGCGTAAACACCACCAAAATGAGTTTAACTACCTAAATGGGGAAAGCTCTGCTAATAGTTTGGGAGACACCATGAATCCATATTAAATCAGAACTAAATTTATCAGTGTTTAAAATAAAAACAACCCAATTTCATAAATGCAAACAGTCTTCTCAGAATAAAGTTAATTTGCTTTATTCAGATAATTAATTTCAGAGGTCCATAATTCTTGGATTTGTTGCACTTGTTTTTAATAGGCCTAGACATAATAAAGTTGTTTAATTTATTCAGATGCACGTGGTTTATGGTCAGAATTTCAGTCCCTGTTTTCATTTTTTTTGACGTGCTGTTATTGCTGGCACCAGAGGCAGTTGTGTCTTAGTCTGCTGTATTATATGGTGCATCTAAAGTGAATTTAATACAAAGAACAGTAAAAATCGGCTTATAAACAGATAAATGTGAACAGCAGGGTTAAGGTTTGGAGAAATAAAGTCTCTCATGGCTCTTCCTGATGTTATAAAGTCCTATAAAAGCTAGGACAGTCACAATATCTATATCTTGTGGGGCTTCCATTGGCATAGAAAACTGTATGGCTTGCTTCTGTGTGGGAAGCGGGAACTGATTCTTTGTTTCAGGAAAGGTTTTTCTTCACTTAATCACAGTCTCCTGAAGGACACTGTTTTTATTTTACCTGATTATTGTTTTTTTTCTAGTGTGTTCCTGACAGAGTTAATATATTTAATAGGAAATATTAAGCTTATGTCCTGGCTGATTGTTGCAGGCTGACATGTTGTTTTTATGAACACAGATGCAGCAGTAGCCAGCACATAAGACTGTTTTGTCCCAGACATAGTTGTTCGAAACTACGTGCTTTAAGTTAAGACCTATAGAATGCCGTTGTGAAAAAAGTCCCAAGATAGGCAAACAAACTAAAAATTACTTTGCAGTTACTACCCAAAATGATTAAAGCACAGTCTTTATCACATTCCTACTCGATCAAGCTAATTTCAAGTGGGGAAAAATATTTTCTAAAGAACAAGGTGCCCTTTTCATATTACTACATAAATCAGAAGTGTGGTGAATCTGGTTTGGAAGAAAAATAAACTTACAATGCCTTAACGTATCTTGAAGTGTCTTAATCTTAAATCATATACTAATTGCTTTGTTTCTGTTAAATGTGTAGTAGACTACAAATTGACACCATTTCTAACTTTTTTTTTAGGTTCTTGGGGTGTCAATGTTTTAATACCAGAGCAGCAAATAAATCAGTGGTGAAGTCATTTTCTAAGTGGAAGAGGAAGTTTTTCAATACAAAATTGTGGTAGATACAGTGAAATTCTGAACAGATTTTTCTCTAAGGAGAATGACATGCTTTCAAGATCAAGTGCATTGAAGGGGCAGTTTTGTTTGCCTGAAAAAAATAAAGAGAAATGTAAAGGACAAGTAAACAAATTGAGGATAAGCTACACTTTTTTGTTGGGAAAAAAATTCAATATTTTATTTATGTGCTATCAGTTTTATTTCTGGCTCATAAGAAGTATTCCCTCTGAGTTTGAATCTAACAGTCTGAGAGGTGTTTGGTACAGACTTGAGCCCTTCTCTATACATTTGCTGGCTATACTAAATAATCATGAGCTCTGCTGGATTGCTGTTTACATCCATGAACTGAAATACTAGATGGATTGGTTTTCTCACAGTGATAGAACCAGAAGAGTTGTCAGTATTTGAAATTAAATGCAAACTTCAGCCACGGAAGGTTTGTATTAATTAATCATGGAAAAAAAATACATAAAGCAGAATCTTAATGGCTTTTTAATCTAAACCATATTTTTATTCCAAAAGCTTCTTGCTAGCCTTCTAAGAAAGGTCCATAAACTATGAACTACCCAAAAGTAACAGATCTCAGCCATGCTTGCCCATTACCAACCCTGAAAGTTTGCTTGTCCTTTAAGAAAAATGTAATGTTGTGAAATTCCTTCCAGTAGTGCCACTGTATTTTGTCTCCAAATAAAAAGAAGCTTATTGTAGTATGTTTGCAGAAAAATTCTAAACAAAAATTATACAGCTTATTAGAGTGTGGGAATAGGGATCTAAATTTTAAATAAAATTATATATATATATAAATTGGTGCTGATTTTATAATTGCGCAGTTTGTTTAGTTTTTTCTTACTTTTAAATTCCAACTTAAAATTATGAGGTTTCAGAAATATATTGAAAGTTTAACAATGTTTAAAAATAGAAGAGCATGAGAATTCATGCTTTAAAAATGATTTTTAAATTTGTATTTTATATTGTTTTATCTATCTGTCTTTGCAAGCAGTCTTCAGGTTAAAGATACTTCTAACAGGTTACAGTACATTTCCTCTGTATGTAAATTAGATTGGATAATAGAAATTCATAAACAACCCATAATATTCTTTGAAAGCTAAGCTTTAAACTTCATTTTGTGTCCATTCACAAATAAATTAAATTTGGTCTAAAACAGAAAGTGGATCTATGCCATTTTGACATCGACTCATTTTGCAAGGCTTAGGCAGCTAGACATCATTTTAAAGGAAATATTAACTTATATTACATATGTATATTTTTTGTCAGTTGTCTCTCGGTTCTTGAGGTATATTATTTTAATCATTCCATGCCTTAATATGCTTGCAATACAAGACTCTCCCCAAATGGGTGAACACAAAAGGCTTCCTGTTTTTAGACTCAGAAATTAAACATTCGGCTGTGGTAGCCAAAAACCATAGATTATCTAAAGGATCATGATAAAATATAATTATTTTACTAAGTCATGGGGTAACAACAAACTCAAAACTAGATCTGCCTAACTCATTTTACATAAATAAATACTCTCATGTCTAAAAGTACTGCCTATATTGTTTTTCACACCACTGCATTTAATAGAACTGCTGAAAGGACTGTATATATGATTTTAAACTTAAGTTGATTTTTCTTACTCTTGAAGGAGTGTTTCTTTGTGAAAGCAGTTCTTACAGCTTTGTTTTCAACCAGCTAAAAAATGTTTTATATATTTACCTTAACCTGTTGTCCTCCACATTCTATTGTCCTAATTGTACTGTTTTCTGATTTGTATTTATGTCTTGAGACAGTAACTTTTTGAATAAAAATAAACCTACAGTATGTTGTATGTTTGATCTTTTTAAATCGGGGTTAGGGGAGGACAGTGAAGAAAGGGGTATGAGTAATGCAAATGTTATGTTTATAGAAATCAAAATCTTTTTCCATGTCTTTTAAGTGTTTGTCTCAGAGTTGGGATAATGTATGAAAAACTGCACTGTTTTATATTTGTAATAAATTGTACAAGTTTTTAAAATGTGAATAAAGCACTAATTGGGTAATAATTTAAAGTAGAAAAGTTAATGCAATCATGATTGTTTTAAATATGCTTTGATTTGAGATAAGCTTGTTAAAAGAATTAGTGTAAATACAGAGTGAGCTTTTCAAGAGGTTAGTATCTGCAAATAAAATTTTTAAAGTTTGTATAGAACTTTTACATGCCAAGAAATTGATGCTTAATTATTTTTGTGTTCTGTTTTTTAAAGGTGTATCAATAGCCTTCCTGTTGGTTTCTTTTTAACTTCTATCTGACATGATATGATTCAGAATGCTTTTGATTCAGACATTGGAGATACTGTATATAGTCCAGTGGAAATGCCACTAAAAGTGTTTGCTTTACCATACACCTGATTAATAGTCTAAGCTTAATTGGCAAGACAGCGAGGAAATGAGGGGGCAACCATAAGCATCTCTTGTGCTCCCTCTTCCCTTTCCTCAACTACTGAGCAGCTCTGGCTGCATGTGGAAAACTTCCTGTTACAAGGCTTTTTAAAGGAGTCATTTTAAAATCTTAGAGATAATACTTCTAATCCTTGCTAATGTAACTTTGGCTGATATTTTATTATTATTATTAATTACAAATGTTAAATCCTGTCTCTAAATCCTGCTGTAAGTTCAATAGTATCTTGTGGAGAATGGTTTTAGTAGGTTCTAAGTTTATAATGAGAAATACCTTTACTATACAATGTAAAGTCTGTCCTAGTTACACCGTTTTGGTACAAAAGCCTGTAAACGAAAGAAGTTTGGGTTTTGAAGAGATGTGATAAAAATGCAGAAACCAACAAAATGATTCAGAGAAAGTGTGTCCTCTAGTTTACCAAAGAGGCCACAGAGAAGATACTGACACAGAGTGAAATCCAAAGGAATAGTCTTCACATATTCTGTAAAAAAAGTATTTCTTGATATTAAACAACCAAAGACAATATGTAAGAAGTTAGTGATTACTGTTGTTTGTTTCCTTGTTTTTCCTTTGGATGGTGTGGTGCATGTCAGAGCCAGTAAATCCCCATCTTCTCTAACTAAATAATTGCTGCTTTGGAAGTTACTCATCTCTGTTTTCCAGATAGTTTACACACCCACTTGTTTTGGCATGGGATTTCAGGGTACCAGTACTGTTAGCTTTAACTTCCTACCCGTAAAAAGTCTGCTGAGCATTTTGAGATGCTTTAATTCACATTAGTGCTTTGCTGCTTTTCAACCTATGGCTACCTTTTTTTTTGGGGGGGGGGGGCAAGTTTAATAGCCTTATGAACATCACGGTCTTGTTAATTATATGAAGCATTTGTCAAAATTGTAAGTTTTTGCTTCAGAATTCTTGTGGTAAAACACAAATTGGCTCTTTAAAAATACCCTTATTTGTACTCATCTGCTTAAATTTTCTTAATTTAGGATACTGAAGTGCAGCTTCTACCATTCCCTCATTTTTCATAATCTTAAACCATCTCTAGTACTGATACTGTTTACTTTCAAAAGGGGTCGTGGCTTTGATGGAGGTGAATGATGACACATCCTTGGAAAAGGGGTAATGTAGGACAGTGCTGCTCTATACTAATAGTTGTATTAAAGAAGCAACAATTCAGTGTTAGTAGTGCCTGTCATTTTCCTCAGCTGTCTCTCCTGTATCCTCTCTTCCTGTTGCGAGCTTGCTTGAATGTATTCCTTTGATTGAACCTTAATTTCTTTTTACAGTTTAAGAGCCAGACTTTGCCTCCCTGTGTAACTGAGTGCCTTCCAGCTAGAGATCCTGTTGCTTTTTTTTGTTGTTTTTTGTACCTACTGCCAGATTTACAGATGTAAATCAGAATGGCTGCACAGTGGTAAGAAGCTATGACCATGCCCATCCAAAGCATGTAGGAAGTGATTGGGTGGCTGTTAACAGAACCCCATGTGAAAGCTTCCCTCTTCGTAGAGGCTGTGTGCAGCTCTCTGTAATGTTGTGTAATTTCTGCTAAGCTTTTCCAAGCAGTTTCTGTTTGGAAAAGAAGCAAGGCCATCATTTTTGCCTGTATTAACTATATTTGTGGAAAAAGCTGATTACAGCTTGAATTCTGCACTGTAAATCAAAATGCTAAACCCTCCAGGGGTCCTAGAACATCTCAGATTAGGAAGGGGATGTGAAGTCGGTAGTTACTTCATGAAAGCACTCAAGTAATACAACAAGATTTTGTAGAAATTAATTAGTTTGATGAAGACAGCTTCTTTGCGTGTTGAGATGGGTAATGACAGGTCAGATCAATGTGCATAGCAACAGTTTGTTTCCAATTTGTCAGGCTGTGAACGTACCTAGAACGCTCTCTTGGGTAAGCGGCCAGTATCGTGTTTATTTGCATTCTTTAAGAGTGCCTGTGAGCCCCCCTCCAGTGTTCATTTCTTCCAGATACAAATATTATGATTTGTGTGTCAGAATTTTAGCAGGGATGGTGTCTGTGTACTCATTTAGCCTTTCTCTATACTGCTCATTCAGTACAATTACTGTAGCTTAAACTTTTCTACATACCTTTATCTCAGTTGGGTGCAAGGTCTGTTAATGGGCATTGTAGGACAGCGGCTCCTTGGGAGCTGCAAGGAGCACTGTGTGCAGTTAACGCAGTTAATGGCTGGGTTGGCTCAGAGCTGGGTTCGTGTGATGGGGCTTCATCTCGACCTTCCCATCGTGTGCTGCTCAGCTCCACTATTTATCTGACAGAGTGCTTCACCTTCTGAGTACTCTGTTGGCAGCTCCACGTGAAGCCTTTTACTCACCACACCATATGGCCATTCCAGGAA